TCCCGTTTTTTTTTTTTTTTTTTTTTTTTTTTTTTTTTTTTTTCACCTTTTTCGTGTTCACATATTCTTTTATTTCTTCCTTGGCTAGTCCCATAGACTTTTTCGGATTTCCGTCTGCGCCAACATGATCTACTGTACTCGTAGGAAATGCGATCGAAAAGGATGAACCTTCGTAACTATGCAACTCCGAAACAACGCTAGTGGCTACGTGACCACGCTCGCCAGAGGACAAAACAACCAGAATTATCTACACTGGTTGCAGAATAGGGATTGAGACTTCAATGCATAATAATTGGTATAACAAGAACAAAAGGTCATGATAAAGAAATGTTTAACTTTTATTTGTAAATGGGCAGTCTACATACAGCTGACTATCTGGCAAAAAGGTGTTGGACAAAAGCAGAGGTTTTATTCATGTATGTTCATCAAGCAACCAACAAGCTTTTTCTCGGTAGCAGCTTATTGTTGTGTTTCATTTGTCTTCTATTACAGAAAGCGATCCCTTTTAAGAAGCTAAATCATTTCAATGCTACTTGGAAGCCCGTCGTAAAATAAATGTACACATATTTTCCAAGGGTCTCATCTTTTTCTTTAAATTCTTTAAGTATAAATCGCTAACGGAAAACAAAAGGTATTGATACAAGACATCTTTCGAATGTGGTTGTTGAATAGACATCCTTAAACACAGCTGACTATCTGTCGAAAACGGTTCGATAAAAGGAAAGGTAGTCCCGATTCACAGCATCCCTAGCAAGATGTTTCTTGCTCTTAGCTTGTTGGTGTGTTTCCTGACATCACCAGTAGCAGAAGGTAAGATGTCCATGAAAAGGACAATTTGTTGTATCACATGTATGAATGGATTATACATACGCTGTAAAAAACACTGTGTGTTTAAAGATCGAGAGATAATATCATTTATTTTTTTAACATTGGGTTCAAAAGAATACTAGGCTCCTCCGCCTATCCTTTATGTCAGTTACATCGATGACTTGATTTATCACGGAAAACTGTGCTAATGAAAATTTGCTTCCTTTGTACTAAAATTAAGTGCGCGACACACTATGATTTTTCGATTCCCTAAGATCTCCAAGGTCCTCCAAATTACTTCAGGCGATGAAAACAGAAAACGAAAAAAAGAATGGTAAAAGGGTACAAAAAAGAAAGATAAGAGAGCGAGGGAAAAAAGAATGACATTCCACTGAATTTTTATATCGTCTACTCTGGAGGAAAGAACAAGCTCACACCAGCGTGAAATTTCTTTAACATCTTTCCAATAAATCCAGAGATATATTACCATTAAAAAATAACCGAAAAACTCGAAGAGGTCAAACGTGACAGTTTAGAATCACTGTTGATCGTTTTAATGCTCTCACAGTCGAAATAAAACATTTCCTGATCATTTCTATCATTCTGCGCCGATATATGACCGGATGTATGAAAAGGCTGTTGTACCTAGTGAACTGTAAACTTGGATTTCATGACACCTATTTAAAGGCATAAAAATTACTCTAAGTAATTAAAAATGAAAAGAAGAGAGATGAATACGAGAGAGGAAGAAAACCATATACATTCCTTTATTTTCTAATATCGTCTACCCCAGGGTGAAATTTCATTGCTCTATGTTCACAAATCCAGATTTTTTGACCATTTAGAATGTGTAATTCTACCTTGTCATTCAAGCCAGGTCCTCACATTATAATTTTCTGATATAACGTTCGTAAGAGAAAACTGTGACAATGAATTTTGCGTTCAACAGCATGCGGCGTGAAACCATTTGGGTCCCGCATTGTGGGTGGCGAAGAAGCAAGGCCTAATTCGTGGCCCTGGCAAGTATCTCTGCAATATCATGGACGGCACATATGTGGCGCCTCCCTCCTAAACGAGAACTGGGTTTTATCTGCCGCGCATTGTGTCGATCAAAGCAGTGATCCTGGTCGATATTCTCTTGCTCTGGGTAGGTTAAAGCATTGATCTTTTGCTATATTTTTTTGCGTGTATGTGTTCGAGAGAGCTTGGTGCTCTTAAATTAATTTGCAAATAGGCAGTATTATGTTTCTTAACCCATGTATCTCAGAGGGTCCTAAGGTCGAAGCATGCCCCAGAGGTCCAGTTCTTTTTTTGTGTGTGATAGATGCACGAAAGATTCTTCTTCTCCTTAATTTTTTCCCTTTTCCGCGAATAATTTGTTTGTCTCTACTTCCATACAAGTGAGCGGAATTGCGTTTACTCCACCTAAGTGGCAAAAATTCCTTTTCATAGTTCTAAATTGGCCAATGAAGAATACCGTGAAAGAGCGACTTCTATTCGTAACAGCTTCCTTCCTTCTACCGAAGATAGTCTCCAGTGCAACACTTTTCTTTTTTGTACTCACTCGAGCCTACACTAAACCCCAGGCATTATCTCTTTCTTAATTTGGGGCGAGCGCGAGTACCTTTAAGCGACCAGTAATGGGCAGCATCAAAAGATTCATTTAATTTGGTGTCGTCGTGAAATCGATCGCCAAACCGAGGAAAAGGAACAAGGCCCAGCTGGGTGCTAGACTGTATTGAGCCTTTTGTAATATTTGTCGATGCATTTATCCGAAACAGGAGCGCATAGCAGAACCAATGACGGACAAGTCTTTAAAGTTTCCCGCGTCATCAAACATCCTTCATTCAGTATGCAGAATCTGCGTCATGACGTAGCATTATTAAAATTGTCGCGTGCCGTACAGCTCGGCGGAAAAATCAACACCGTCTGCCTGCCGAAGCATGGGTCGCGTGTCACTCAGGGAACAAAATGTTACGTCACAGGTGATCATCTCAAATGGCTTGACTCCAAGGTGGTTTAATAAAGCAAAACCTTCAGATAAGTCTCTTAATGACTGGTGTGATAAATTTGATAGTACAGTAAAAACCCACATATAAGAACCTGCATTTGTCTAGGTTAGACTCGAAAGGTACTTTTATAATTGGCTGCTACAATAACATATATATAAACATTTTAATGAGTAGTATTCATCCAAATGCCTTCTAACCTGTCAAAAGGACTGCACATTCTACAACTAACACATTCACACTGCTGTTTTATAAAAGGTTTTTATTTAAAAAAAAAAACAAAACAAAACAAAGAAAATAAAATCTTTGCTAGACTGCCTACTGCCTATTTGTCTAAATGAATTCAATCTAAACAAATGCAAACCCTATTTCAAGTTAGCTTGTTTCTCTCAGTCGAATGCTTTTATATAGATCAAATACATCAAAAGCTTAACCACCATAGAACACAACAGAGTATCTACATTACATCTACATTACATTGCAAAAGATTTGGCTGATTTTATTGCACATTACACTTTATTTTATTTGATTCATCAATTCGATATAATAAGAACCTTTTTAAATTTTAGGCTAGTATGTAAAGGGGTGCTAAAAGAGAAACCTTTTACCCTTACGGTTGGCAAAAATTAGTTTGGTATATGCGCGCTTTTACAGTATCCAGATCCTTTCTGACTTCCTCATGTTAAGTGCCTTTGTCATCGCTTATTAGGCTGGGGAAGGATACGGTCAAACTCCAATGCACTTGCACCTCGCCTTAAACAAGCCTCCGCTCCAGTGGCGAGTCATAGCGAGTGTCAACGAAAAAATGGAGGAATAGTACATGAGAGTTCGATGGTCTGTGTAGGAGGCAAAGGGAGCAGTGTCTGTAATGGTGACAGTGGGGGCCCCTTGTCATGTTTGGAGGATGGTCGGTGGGTGGTCCGTGGAGCAGCCTCGTGGGTGACTAGCCGAACGTGCCCTGGTAACACCTATTCTGTCTATTCTCGCGTTAGCTCTTACGTAGACTGGATCAATGGTTACGTTCAAGGTAAGTGATAAAGTGAAAATAGTAAAAGGATCTAAGAGCATGCTCTCCTTAAAATTTAATTTACATAGTCATATATTTGTCTTTAGCCGTGATAAATCTACTAGCGTTCTATCACGAATGCCGTTCTCTGATTGGCTAAGCTACTCTTTATATATTCTGTTGTAGATAGTGAGTAACCTTGCAGTGTGTTGTTCTGGGACGGTTCGGTGACGAGGATTTAGATGAAGTTTTCAACGACTAGTAGATTATTCACTCTACCATCTGCGCCCTCGTTAACTATCACGCGATACTGAGAAATCTCGAGCACATTATCTAATTGTTAATTAGCAAAATGGAACATAAATCGTATAAAAAGCAAATTGCAAATTGAAAAAGGTTGGAAAATGAGGCTGGGCCAGGAATAGTGATGTCATAGTGTTCTCTAAATATTGATTTTGGCTATAACTCATTCTTGAAGTAAAACTAGTTACCTAACTATAACTCCTTCTCACATTATTTTAATTGATGTGGCTATGAAATCAATCAAAGTAGTTTGTTTAGTAGCCAAGAGATGTGACCAACTTTTTCTCTCTAGGTGGAGGTGGTGGAGGCGGTGGAGGCGGTGGAGGTGGCGGAGGCGGTGGAGGAGGTGGAGGAGGTAGTGGTGGCGGCGGCGGTGGTGGAGGAAGTAAGTCTTCAATTTCTTGTTTAATCAGCACTCAGGAAATTTCAATTAAGATTACGGCAGAGCTAAGTTCAACTGTACCTTGCGCAAGACTTACTCTGTGTGTGTTTTACCCTGTTGCCCTGTAGCTGACGTGCACGAGTTTCGGTGTCCTGACTTAATTTACATACTGAACCAACAATCTCCTACCGCTTGTCGACGACTTTTGCATATTTGTATATTTCGTAAAAACCTAAGCTGTGAAGATAAAGAGCAAAATGTTCTGATTGGGTGGAAGAGGGTTTTGCTGTGGTAAATACTAAAACTGCATGAGAAAAAATTACAAGAAGAGCTGTAACCTCTGCAAGTTTCTCACATGGCAATAGTCTGTCGTATCTGAAAAAACGGCGAAAATATCCATAGCATTTATAAGATTTCTGACAATAAAAGGTTTCGTAAAGCACTTTAAAATGAAAATTAGCGATATGAAAAGTGAACGACGTTTCGATGACTCCATGTCATCATTATCAAGTTCGAAATACTTTAACACCCTTTTAATTCCCTAAATATTTTCACACCATTTTTACTATTTATATTTATTCAATTCTATCATGTATTTCGAAATTGATATTGATGATATGGAGTCATCGAAACGTCGTTCACTTTTCATATCGCTAATTTTCATTCTAAAGTGACTTATAAGATCAGGACAAAATTTGTTTAAAGAACCGCAGGTAATATGCTGATTTTTTTAAACCTACTACTGAATCAGTAGTTTATTCACAATATAGTCAATTTTTGGGTGATTTTCCCCCGGCATCGAAAAACTAAAGGGACCATTCAAAGATACCTCAGTGATTCAGTTCCTCTAGAAATGGCATTAACTATTTGCCAAATGATCTGATCCATATTCACCGTATTTCTGTCCACTACTTCAAGATACGTGGTTTCTCGCAGCGGGCATCAATCATGCTACGATAGCTTTGTTTCACTTCTGCCTGAACTTGGAATTAGTTGCCTTGATTTTATTTGATATATTACATAGGTTTTATTTAATACCTTTGTCTTTCTTCTTCCCTTTTCGTTATTCAAGGTTGTGAGGATATTTCTTCAAACTGCATAGATTATGTAAGTTACTGCAAAGCGCAACATTGGGTAGACTACATGAAGAAGTACTGTAAGAAAACTTGTAAATATTGCAGTGGCGGAGGCGGTGGCGGTGACGGCGGCGGTGGCGGCGGTGGCGGCGGTGGCGGCGGTGGCGGCGGTGGTGGTGGCGGCGGTGGCGGTGGAGCAGGTATTCACTATCTATTTTAATCTCCCTTTTGTGAGGTAGTTGTACAGATTTAACATTTTTTAAGGACTACGTTTCTTCTTCCATCTTTTTGACGGTCTGCATTTTTATTGTTGTTGTTGCTCTTGCTTTTCAGATTGTATGGACAAAAAGAGTTCCTGTCCTGCGTGGGCTAACAGTGGATACTGTAAGGGTCAATACGAACAGTACATGAAACAAAACTGTAAGAAGAGCTGCAAGTACTGCGGTGGTGGCGGGGGTGGAGGAGCAGGCGGCGGCGGAGGCGGTGGTGGTGGAGGTGGTGGAGACAGTGGATCAGGAAAATGCGGATATAAACCCAGTGCACGAATTGTGGGTGGTACTGAAGCCCCCAAAGGAGCTTGGCCTTGGCAAGCATTGATCACGTCTTGGGGTTTTGGATTTTGTGGAGGAACTTTAGTTGATGAGCAGTGGGTTGTCACGGCGGCTCACTGTACTGCTGGTAAATCTGCCTCAAGCATTCGCGTAAGGTGAGATGTTAACTGAAAAGAAGACGACGTGCTCTCAGGTTATTGAAAACCCATTCTTCAGCAACAGTTCTTTTCAGATCATCACTTACCCGGACAACCACTCTGGAAAACCTTAACACCAAATTCTTTTCAGGATTTTTCAGGAATACTGGTTATTACTCATCCTCGTCACCAGAGATATCGCGATTCTTTTGAAGTGTACTATTGTTCGGTTCAGCGAAAAACACGTTCGTAAACTAAGTAAATAAGTAAATAAAAATGCCACGTTTTTTTTTTTCATTTGTACTGCTGAATAGATATGTAAAATTGCTACGTATACTGTTCATATAAAAGGAGGAAAGAACAAGGAAGAAAGGAGAAGAAATAGAATGAGAGGGAAAAGGGAAAAAGGAGGATGAGTCATGGCTTTCATTAGTTCATACTTCTTATTTTGCAGACTTGGAGCTCATTATCGCAAGAGCAATGTTGGAACAGAACAGGATATGGAGGTCGAAAGAATCATCAATCACCACAGCTACAAACGACCGTACGGCATGGCTCACGACATCTCCTTGCTGAAACTGCGCAGTCGCGCACAAATAAACGAAGCTGTAAACCTGGCCTGCTTACCTGAATCAAGTGGAGAAGTTTCAGATGGCAAGATGTGTTGGGTTACGGGTAATAAAATATTTCAGCAATGTCTTAACTGACTTAATCTCGTATATTCCACCTTTTTCAATCGAACTCCATAACTCGCAATCCGACGAGCCTCATCAAGTCTGACGAACGTTCCAGACCTCCAGCCCTTACGTCGCTGCGCGGCTTCACGGGGAAGGTTTTGGTCTTCACTATCTCCCTTTCTCTTTGGGTTTCACTTTATATGTATGGTCGTTATGGCCCAGAAATAAAATTGAATGTGAGATTTGTCAAAATATAAGAAACCACATAAAGTTCGTCTAGTCGAAATCAAAGAAAACGCATTTTGCATTTTTGGGCCTTCTTACTTCCCTCATCTTATACTTATGACTCACATTTTTGTTCCTGAGTTGAATCAGCCTCTGAACAAGCTTTCTGAGCGACTGAGTTTGCTTGCTGGCTAAAGTTAGTCTCCCTTATGCTGTGTCGGAGTGTCAATGTCACTCTCTGTTTGCTTGGATGAGTGCAGCTGTTACCAAAAGGAATGATATCTTCCCATGGCTCATCCATTCTTTATTTTATTGAAATAACATCACCCAACGTCTTTTTTTCTTCGCATAATTTTTTTAGGATTTGGAACATTGTCTTCTGGTGGCTCTCTAGCAAAGAAACTCATGCAAGTTGAAGTGCCAATTGTCTCCCAAGCCAGTTGCAAACGGGCTTATGGTTCATTAATACACGACTCAATGGTTTGCGCTGGACTCAGAGAGGGAGGCAAAGACTCGTGCCAAGGAGATTCAGGTGGTCCTTTGGTTTGTGAATCCAACGGAAAGTTCTTCCTCGAGGGTGTTGTATCGTGGGGAAGCGGATGTGCTTCACCAGGAAAATATGGAGTCTACGCCAGGGTCCGTTACTTGAGGCAATGGATTGATAACACAATGAACAAATATTAAGCACCAACATGCCTGTAAGAAAATAAATAAAAGGTGCTGCACGACAAATCCACTGTTTTTTCTTTATTAACCAATGACTTGAGAAAATCCAAGGCCGATAGAACCCAAGCTGTACTTGTGTTTAGTTGAAATGGGACCATAATCAGAAACGCCTCTAAGCTTGTCTACAATACATCACTTTTCGCCTTTTACTTAGAAATTTCATCTTCGTTAGAGAGACTTTCGCTCAATCTGTATGCTAAAGTTATTTATCATTTTATTTGCAAAATCGATTAAGCTTTTGCTTACCGGCGGAATGTAAAACAGGTGTTAGGGAGCTTAAGCAACGACGACGAGGACGCCGAGGACGGCGCCTAGTAAAAAACGTATTTATATTTTACAAGCGAAATTCGCGACTGTCTAGATCTGTTCGGTATGCCGTTGGCTCTAAAAACGTGCGTAAGCTAAATGTGCAACGACAACGTTCAATTCCAAATGGAAATACGAAAAATTAGTCGTCGTCGTCCACGTTCCCTAGACGACACAGAACTTGGTCATTTCACATTGTTGTTTTGCAGGGGACGGCAAAGAAATGTACAAAGATTTATAACGCACGTGCACAGCTACTGTTTTGCTCATTATACCTTTTGTTTAGTGACGTTTTCGTTGCCGTCGTCGTCGTGGTTTACTTAAGCTCCCTATTAACACATCCAAAACACCAATATTTCACTACAATTGATGAGACATATATTCATCGTCTGGCTAAAAATAACCGCGAACGCTTAGTCTACAATACAATACAAAATAGAAAATATCCAGAACACTCCGGTGGGGGTATCAGCATTCTCGTCATAGGTTTCTACGCAAGTCCAAGAGACTCAAGACGTCTGATGAATCATGATGTCGAATGACGGGATATTGCTCAATTTCGTCCCAGATGGCGGTCGTTTCGCCAATGCTTGCTTCTCGCTTTCGAGCCTCTCTCTCGGCTCTCCGGCAACCTCTAAATTTCTAAATCAAATGTCATGGCCTGGCTAGAATTCGTAGTTATATATAATGTGTGTATTTGAAAGAAGACTCGTGGGAATTGGAAATAGTTTAACCTGCCCTCGTCAAACAGCAGGGATATTATTACAGTTGGCAAGTGCGTTTGTGGACCTTTGAAATTATTTCGTAATCTCGCTTGCTTCCGGTTAATAACCTTAAGAGAACATTTCCTCGACAAAACCAACCGGCAGAGAGAACAGGCTTGTTAAATGCAAGTTTAACACGGCCCAAGAACCAACAGCTAGGATTATTATCGAGCAATATCGTCACAATAGTGACGTAGTGTCGAGACCCGTTACTATAGCAACTACAGTCTACAAAATTTAATTTTCAAGTGCAGCACTTTTATGTCTACGTCACGAGATTTGTTCATTAGAAATTAAGTTGTCTCAGTTTTATTTACCCGCTGACTACTGTCAACGTTAAAACAACAACGACGACAACAAAAAGCTTTGGGTACGATTGACGGTGATGCTGGATTCCACTCTGAACCTTAAAACCACTTGTCAGTGAATGCCTTCTATCTCGGGGGCCTCTATTTTGAAAAAGACTAAATAAACACAAAGGCTCAACGTAGGTACTTCTGTACAATTAATTAGCATTTCCCACGTCGTTGGCAAAATTAATATTTGTTTGTTCTATTGCAGGTGCGCTTTACAAAAAATATAACTGAAGTCTTCTGCTCTCTTTTCTTACTCGGTTTCTGTTCTAAGTTACCTGACCACTCAAAAAGCTTTCGGCACCCAGGGCAACCTTAAAAAACCATCAATTTCCATTGAGTTGCGAATTACCATAATAATGTCACGACTGATTGACAACAACGAGCTTTATTGAAGACTGAAATTGATCTGCTTCTTCCGACAAATGTTAGTAAACCGTAATCAAACACTTTCTCCATCACGCTGTTTCCTCGAGACAGTCTCACGTGAACAAACGCTGAGTTGCAACCAAGCTTTCGCAAAGAGGATTTGATTTTTGACGTAACTTTATTGGTGTGTGATCGATGGTTTAAGAAATTTGCATTTCAGAGGAAGTGAGATGATTGAATAGCCGATCCTTTGGGTTTTAACATTACTGATGGCACGATCGCCATTTCACCGAGCTCTGCAAGTTGCTGCTATTTGCCTGGCTTATTCACAAGTTATCGGAGCGTGCCTAGACGATACAGCCTGCCCAGCTTCCAAAAGCTGTTGCAATGGAATATGCAGATATAGCTGCACCTGTGAAAGTTCCGCGGATTGCGACTGGGATGAGAAATGTTGCGCGAATCGTCAATGTGCGGATGGCTTTGAACTTTGTTCGCAACCTCTGCCGGCCTATTTCATCGCTATAGGAGCCTGCTCTGTGCTATCAATGACATTTCTTTGCTTGCTGTTTATCTGCTATTGGGCTCGCTGCTGCCCGTGGTATAAGCGGCGTATCGCACGTAGAAGAAGGCATCAAAAAGATTTGGACGCTACGGTTCATCGACCACAATTCGCGACGTTATCGTCAACAAATACGACACAAGAACTTCACTTCCCTTCGGCTCCTCAGTCGCCAAACGTTCCTCCGCCACCATATCTACCGCCATTAACAGGAAATCCAGCCAAGTATTCAAGTTATACTGTACAAAGAATAAGCCCATCGATGTGCCATCCGCCACCGTATGCTGCGAAGACTTAATTATGAAAGATCCGCAGCCATTTTCAGGAGAAATCATGTTTATTAGAGCAACTCTTTGGTACAACACCGCCTTCTTCTCAAAGCTAAAATTACAAATACAAACTATAGCCTGAATTTCGAGAGGCATAAATGAGATATTTGAAGATGTTTTTTTATGCTAAGTTAATTTATAGCCACAATGTTGTCAAATCCGGTGCTTTATTTGCCCATATTGTTCTTCCTTTTATGCTGCTGCTGTTACATCTGTTAAAACCGACGAATTCGACATTTTGTTGAATTTAAAAAACAACAACAACAACAAAAAAAAAACATCGCGCTACGTGAAGACATAACGCTTCCGGCGAAGTCGTATTAATTAAATGATGCAAGTTTTTAAAATTTTATTTAATACTGCTATAAAATGTGTTCCTCGAAATCTATAATTACGTCACTGATTGTTTGTCCGAGATCAAAGTGGCCTCGAGCAACTTGAGTTTTTTAGATGTCATTATTTATACCATCGCAGATAATCGAACAGGTTCGCTTCTAAAGAAGTCGTTCGTTTGAATATAAAAATTTGACTTAAATGTATCATACTGATGATCGTGTATTTCGCTCGCAAAATAGAAGTGGATTTGCATTGTTGCCAAGAGTCAGTCTATTGTTGTGAAGTCGAGAGTTACAAACAACAGGAAACCGCCGAATTTCGATCTCGACCCTTCAGCGCTTATAACCGCAGTTCATACGCCTGTTGAATGAAATAATACGAGAAACAGAGACACCCCTTAGAGGAGCACAGAGTTACTAGTGATTTACATTTGTTTCATTCAGTTTGAGGGGGTAAAAGCCGGCAGGCCCCATAGTACATGAAGCGAATAACCGCCGGCCATTTTGAAATTACCGACAAAAATCGAGCGAAAGTGACGGTCGCTTTGTACGGTAATGAATTTGCTGCGGTATATGGTTGCCATGAGTTTATTTTCTAATATACTATACACATGTCTGATATTCACGGTTTGTGTACTACTTAAGATATCTGTTAAAAAATCTTGCTGAGTATATTGAAGGACCGTACTGATCGACCGGTATCGCGGAATTTTTACGCATAATTTGATCACTCCAAAACGCAAAATCTTGAGACATCTGTACAGTAGTCAGGCTTGAATTTAGTTGTGAAAATAAAATTGCAGATATCCTTAATATATACTCTGTAAATGACAAATCAATTGGGGATCCAATATAAACGGATTTCCGCAAAACCACTCAAACGCTATATTTTGCGTCATGTTTACTAGTGTTTTCAAGAACATAAATTTTATTTATAGGCTTCTGCACAACAGTACGTAGAAATCCTAAAGGATTTTTTCAGACGAGATCGATCGAATCAAACTCCTTTTATGTATCTTGTTCCTCACACTTAAATACAACGTATACACAATTCATATGGGTGCTGCTTTGTTATTCCTCAGTTTTATTTCTGGAAAGGAAGGCCTCTTTGTTTTAGTCACGTTAGCTACCATGTACAAAGACCGCATCGGACATGAAGGATTGCGAACTATGCCACCGAGTCCACACTGTTTTCAGAATACTACCGAGCAATGCTAAACAGGAGATACCAGAGAGGTCGGTATTGCAATATCAGACTCAGAGAGTGTTCAGAAACCGAAGCAAATAATAGTTTATTATTCAGAATGAAAAAGAAAAAAAAAAAGAAAGAAAGAAAAGAAAAGAAAAGAAAAAGAACGAAAATTGAATAATTGATTAGCAAAATGCCGACAAGGTGGTAATTGACAAAGGGGAACTTAAAACTATAAGGATGGAAGAAATTTAAGCCAATGAAACAAATATATATTTTGTGGTGTTTATTCTTTTATCAAGGTTCCCTGAGTCAGGCCCGGTTCGGCCACTACACAACCTCAGTGTAAGGGGGTCAGCCTGTTCCGAGGATGAGTTGTTGCCAAACCACCATCTCTAGAGGCGAATATTGTTCGGAAACATTACAAACCCGAAATTGTTTGACAGATGGCAGGCTATATTCGCAAACAAAGTGAGGTATCAAAACAACATTTGCGTAGGAGGCCCTATCGATATCATACATTATAGCCCATTTGTATTGCATTGCAAATCCAGCTTTCCTTTTACGACAAGGACTATTTTGGAAAAATTTTCGTTATGTCAAGTGTCTCTTTGACCAAATCACCATACAATATCTTATCTCTGTTTAAAACTGACAGCTAGGTATTAAACAAGGTGTGGCGACAAAAGCCTCTGCCTCTTCTTTTCGCATTTCTAGCAATTTATGGGTTCATTCAGCATCGTCTAATCAAATCCATGTTAATATGAGTTAATGCAAAGCAAGATGAAATATGCCAAAGTTTCTGTTGAAAGCTAGCTTTTGACGGGAACACATATTGGAGTTTTCGGAGTATATTGTTTAATAACTCGACGTCATTGCAGCCACTGTGTAGCTATTTAAAAAAGCAATGGAAATTCATCGAGTTATGCTACTCTCATCTGTTTGTACTTCAATCTCCCCGCGGCTGTGACAGAAGGCCGGTTTGATTTTTGAACAATACGGGAACCTTTGAGGTAGTCCAAGTTTCCCAGCATTGCTAAATAACACCAAATAAATGCATTCTGTTTAAGAATTCAAAGTGGCTTATATACTAGACTGGGAATAATTACGAAGGTGACAAATAAGCAATAATAAAGGATGAAAGGAAGGAAAGCAGGAGGGAAGGAAGGAAGGATGACCGATCTGAAGAGCTACACGTACCTGGGTCAATTTCCATGAAATATTCAGTCTACATTTTTGAAGTTGTTCGCTGGTAATTTATCAGCCTCAATCTTCTACATACTTCTGGTTATTTTATACCTCATTAAAGATTTATTTTGAAGCTTAAATGATTTCTAGTCCGTAAAGATCACTCTCAACCGTCACCCCAATGTTTGTGACGCGTTCAGTCAATGAAATAGGAACTGAAGTTTACTTATTCTTAATTTATCAACTGCTAAACTTTTGGTTTAGCAACTAATGGTTACATCTAATGATTGCATTTTTAGTTGCTTAGCAACTAATGGTTGCCTTTTTGAATTCTTTTGTTCAGCAGTTTCTTTGACTTATATACGGCTACAAAGTCACGGTGTCATCGCGTATAGTAATCAGAAATAACGATGTGTAAACCCGGCGGTTCGCATGCAAAACAAAGACGTAAAAAAATCCCTCAAAAACGCGCACTACGGACTGGAAATCATGTTTAAAAGGTAGCCGCGTGGTTATCACAGAAATGGTGTAACTTGGCAGAATTCTCTAACTAATCCCATCCGACGCGTGACCGCGACAAAAAAACCGTGTCTGCATGATATGTGGGCGGATCTCTGCCCCCGCAACTTGTTGCCTTTGTCTTCGTATTGAATGAACATAATTTTAAGGATATGGTGTCTGAATAAGTCCAAGCTAAGTACTCTCACGAATAGAGTCATGGTAACATATGTGCGAGGCACAAAAGACATAATAAACGGTTCAGCGCCATATCCATGACATCTTTCAACAAATCGTAGACACTTTATTTTCTAAATAAATAGACAATATTACTAAATAAAATACAACTTGGGTACCAGAATAGTAATACCTTACACAAGATCGTGACCATTTCGCACAAATACCACACTGGAGTACGTCCGAGAACCTCGCATTGCTTTTGCGTTTCTTGATATGTTTACAGTGAATAATGCTGTTGTCAGGTGACCAAAAAAAGGAAACAATTAATTATCTAAGAATTTGTTAACAATTTCGAATAACAAGCCAAGCTTGTCTGAAGGTTTTATACACTAACCCACACAACCAATACGTTAACATTTTATAAAATAGCCTGTCATCTATATTCTACACTACTGATATATTTTGTGTCCGAAAGAACTCATTCAGTGAAAGAACAGCTGAAACACTTCAGTGTAGTTCCAGGGTAATCGTTGTAACTCGCGTTGCTCAATAGAACCAGATCCAAACAAATTGAAATAAGCACTGTTGATAGAAAATAGTACTAAAACTGAAAGAGACATTGTTTCAGTCGTTTTGCTCCTCATAAATTAACAACTCCAGGTTTATGCTTTCAGAATCTTAAGCGCAAAGTTGCAACTGAACAAGCGACGAAATAAACGGGCGTGTTCGTTTAGTAGTCTCTTCAACCAGAGAGAAGTCTTGTCGGCGGCAAAAGGGCGTGAAGCATCAGAAAGGAAAATGATGTACGAGCAGCGAGAGAGATGTATAACTGTAGCAGGCTTCGAGCAGGAGTTAGATTTGGACTCCTTTTAGCGCGTGGTGGACAGGTTGTCAGAAAGGATGCGAATGTTGCTTTAAGCAATGGCGTCTTGGTGCTATAATTTCGTCAAGAAGAAGGAGACTATAATCAAAACGACTGAGCTGCACCTAGTACACAAACAGCGACCGCAAAAAATAATAAATTTCTTTACATTTTATGTACCATTAAATTAAACAATCGATGTACTATCCTCAGTCTCTAAGTGACTGATCGCCGCATGCACAATACAGAGACATTTAAGCTCGTGGTTTAACTTTGATGTATTTTGTTGTTCTGTTTAATAGTTTACTGAGCGGACGCAAGAGGTGACGATTTCTTCGTTTAAAAACTACCGTCGTAATAGGTACAGTGTGATAAGATGGTCTAAAGCTACTCCTAACAGCTCTGGGAGCCTTGAGAATACGACAGTAACCGAAGAACTGCTTTAGTAACCGAAGATCTACTTTACTCAATCTCATTTGTTGCGTAAGCCGTGCCTGCAAGACCTTGAGAAATCGATCCGACCTCCGTGCTTATTTCTAATATTGTAAGCTTGCATAAACACACAGTCAAAGGTTATATTTTTGTCGTAATTAAAGTGGCAATTACCTCAGTGGCTGTCGAGCAATTTTGGTTATACTGCACCATTAACAATTCCGGTTCGAAACAACAGCAGACCAAATATTTGTGACTCAGTTTCCTGACCGCTAATGTAACTCAAGACTTGCCTAAACCTATTTTTTGTGACCTGCATACAGTGCCCAGTATAAGCTTCATTAAAGTAGCACGGAGTCCAGTCTTAATAAGCATTGAAAGTTGGCCCACATAGATAATGATATAAATGATATCCCCTATTCCCTTTTCTATGAAACCGCGTAATCACAAGATAGTTTTCAAACGGTTCTTTCATTTTTCTCCGCATGTTTTACGTTACCTAACCTGTACTGTATGCATGTCGACCATGCCGTTTCCAAAATGTATAAAGTTTCCGGGGAGCAAATTTCGGCTTCTTTTTTTGCGCCGATTCCTTACTTCCACGTACGTGGACCGTGTTTCTTGAAATAAGTTAGATCAGTAAATCAGCCGTACTTCCCGCAATCGCTTCAGTAGTTTTTCTTGCTTCTTTTGTCTGGTTTTGCATGCAGGATTCGAGCTCAGATTATTCTATGTTGCGTGTTTACTGAGACGACACGCGGACACCATCTGCTCGTGCCAACATATTTTCCCATCCATGAACTTCAGTCGATAAAAAAACCCGGATTAAAAAGGCCCGCAATGATCAAACAGTCCAAAAGTGTGCAGATAAAAACCCTCCGGCCCCATTGAAGGTCATATCCCGTTCGTATCCCGGTTGTAATATGGATGGGACAAATTGACCTTTCGATGACTGTTGCTTGCTATACAACTCCCAGACGACGTCGTCGCTGAGCCGCGTACACAGGACATGAAGGATGGTTAACGCAAACACAGAAGACTAAAAGAAAGCCGAAAAGAAGAGAAAGAGGAACCGCCACGGCCAGCTTGGAAGACAGTGAACACAACGACACCCGTGAGATACATTCACCGCTGTCGCAGCACTTTAGCCCTACGGGACAGCCTGTGTCCAACTTGCAGTCTCTCGCAACATCACAGTTTTCAAGGCAAGTTCCATTGCAGCAGCTCGATTTCTTGCCAGCCTGGTCGCACGCAGTGTTGTTAAAACAAGGCATAGCACAAGTCCCCAACCGAATTATTAAATTAAACGTTAACGTCGCTACAAAATTTTTCCGGCTGTACATTCTCATGTTATTTTGCAACAAAACACAATCTGTCAAAACAAGTCACTTTTGCCAACCGCTTTCCTTGGCTACACTAACGTCATCACTCTCGCTACATTCGTGACAGTACTTCCTAACTACGTGAAGTGGGCGCAAGTTGCCTTAACAACGTTTTCGACCATAGTTAATGATCAAGCGGCATGATATTGCATTTTTTCCGCCCCCGTTTAATAATTTCCTTATCTGCGTTTTTTTTTTTTTCTTTAAATATATCAAGACCTGTCACAAGTCAAAGGTCGTTGATTGTTCCCACTGCTAATTCCATAGCAATGACAAGTGTTGCGGTTTACGTAAATCATTAAAAAAGCCGTTAGTTTCAGTGAATTGAGCAAGATAAGTAAAGTTATTTTTGCAACCTTTCACACAGCCGGTTATCTTGAAATGCTCTACTGGTAAGCACTATTTCTGAATTTGAATCGATTTTTATATTTAACAAATTTCCAAAGCTTATGTGGCGCCGACATAAAATGATAAATCTTTTCTCGACATCTCGATGGAAACAGACACCAATTCGCTAATGAAATAATTTTGTTACGGGTAGCTTATCATTTTCAATTCTAGAGAGATCAACATTAATTCTTACGTCACGTGTTTTTAAAGGCTATTATCCTATGAATAAAAACAGCATAAATGGTTGACCGAATACCTGAAGACGGTTTTTCGAGGGTCTCGCTGTGGGAACTGAAATAAGGGAAAAATTCTAAAGACTATCTGACACATTTTCTGTTCACATGACAATATATACGAGACGATTGTTAACCGTTTGAGTTAATCATTTTGTGATGCGTAAAATCAAACCTTCTTTAGAGCTATGTTTGAAAATGGATTCAATAACTGTCGAGCGACGTTTACAGGGGCTGTTCCAGGATTTTTCAAGTTGGGGGGAGGGGGGGGGATGGATGGTACCTTGAGTTTGTAGATTCAATTGGACATGCCCCCCCCCCCCCAAATGTTTCAATTCGAGAATTAGAACTTAATTAAAATTGTTAGACCACAAATACTAACAATACTACAAAGTAGGAATTACAATGAGGTAACTGACCATTGGGGGGGGGGAGGAAGGGGCTGGGGAGTATGATAAGCCACCCAGCCACCGCCCCCTAAATCCGCTCCTGGTTTATGCGAAAGATGGCAAGTACGCGTAGTAACCAAAGCAACGCTGATTTTAAGGAAAATAATTTATGTCTAGCCTGCTAACAAGAAACAGATCCTATCTTATTTACAAATTAGGAGACTATGTTACAACGCGACTGCAGACTTTTTCCTCGTGTATTAATTATTTGCAGGCAATTTGATTCTTTACATAATTCCCTCAAAGATTTCTCACAATGATTATTTTCAATGGGTTCACTGATCATGGAGTGGTTACTAAAATGGCGATATCAGTTTAGAAAACTGATGATAAACTTAGTACTTTTTACATTGTGAAATCATTAAATTTGTAAAAAAAAAAAAAGTTTCCACAGAAGACAATTGCATTACTAACTTACATGTCATGGAAACCGTAGTTAAAATAAACAATAAATAGATTTTATGTTTCACTCGTTCAATACGCCACTAGTAATTTTTTTTTTCCTGGCTAAAATTCTACCAAGAAATAGGATAAATGCAGACAAAACCGGTCTTGATAGGAAGACTAAGTTAATTTGTTTTAAAATAACAGAGATACGACTGCAACTCTTCGCTGTTTGAGCGTTCCCTCGGGGACGGAAGTCGGCAGCGGGAGACTAGTAACCAGGGTAGTTACATCTCCGCCCCAGTCTCCACCAAAGAGTAAAGGGCAATCGAACAAAGGCATTTCACTTTGTTGTTTCACGACTTTCGCTGAGGGCGCACGTGACCTTATGACCTCTACTGGCTTTAGCCACACGATTGGGAGATCATAAATGTCACGTGACTCAGTTGGTTCAATGATACAAGCACGGTCAGCGTCCCATGATGCACCGGTCAGTTTCAAGTCACTGAGAAAGACGCCATGGTCCGGGGGAGATGTGGGGAGAGTACTTGGATGGAGTACCTGTCCAAGTGAATGAAAAGTAAATTGCGCGGTCAAATCAACGCATCATTTCATCAGCTGTCAGTTGGATCATTCATAGTGAGAAACAGGTTCAACTTAGGAAATAAAGAAGAGAGGAAAATAATACAAAGGCCGCGAATAAGGCTAACGACAGAACCGGCGAACGGCTTTGCCCTCCTTCCCCCCTCCCCTCCCCCCCTGCCCACTCTCCACTTCCTCGCCCCTTTTGCATTTTCCCGATTAGATCATGATGGCTTTTTCTGGTTAAAAAAAAGGGGGTTTAGTTCCTTTAATCGTGCTGACTCACGGCAATAAGGTAATGGCTTCGGAGGAGTTTTGCACTACACATTTTAAAAATGGTCGTTGCATCTTGATGAATAAAGAGTCAGTGGAAATACGAAAAACGTGAAAACAACAGAATCACTTCTCGCAGTACAGTGCAAGGTAAAGAGTGAGGTCAAGGTTTGTAATGTAAGATACAAACCAACCCTTTCCCCTTCGCGTGCGTCCCAGTGTACACAGATTCATACGTTGCTGCTGGACCAAGGAAACGAGGTTCACAAAGGAAAACGTTTCCTGTCAGGTAGCCTGTACTAGATACAGTAGCTACAGAATACGAACCGTAAAATTGACCGATAGCGCGCGTTAAATGTAACAGATAGTTTATTACAGGGAAATAACGCTGTTAATTACTACAAAGTGTATAATTACCTCCACTGAAAACTCCAGAGCGTACACAGATTTCATTGTAGAACGTGCGTGATCCATTAAAACACAAGCTAAAAACGCTTGAGGGTGCGCAAACGCTCCAAGGCAATACGAACAGGACTGTAGAGGCGAAGTCGACAAGTAACCACTGAGGGCTTTCACTTGTCTTCTAGCATCTACCAACCATCCACTAAGACTGACATCTGTGGAGTTCTTAACGAGCCACTTGGAGGGTGCACGGTGAGAACCAAGCGCTGAGGCTAAGTTGAAGAGATCTGGTGTGAAAGCAACGTGTCCACTGCAAGCGTTGATGAGAAGTTCAATCTCCTTAACTACTTCCTCGAGGAGATTTTGAAAGAAGACAAGTTCACGTTGAATGAAAGCAACAACAGCTGTTGTTGCTTCGCGCGAAAGGTCATGTGCCTTGATTGATTCCATAACAGTTGTGATTTCATTGCGCGTTTCTCCAGCAACAACTCTGACTTGGTTTTCAATTGAGAGAGAGGAACGTTGGCGCCCTGTCCCAATAGCCAAGCGGTCTCCAATGCCACTAAAAAAGAGACGCAACCATGATAAGCAAACTAGAATAACGTAATGGGGCAGAAATACCTCCAAGTAATTGTGAGACTGAATTGGAATCGACGCAGAATTCGATCCATCTAACTTTCCTAGCAATCGTGTCTGACTGTGGAATGTGCCTTGTAACTAGTGCAAGGCCCTAAATGCCACTGCCAGTTAGTAATAAGCAATAGCAACTTCCCTCCACGAAGTGCGCCTGCAGAGAACCATGGTAGTTGTATTTCATGAAAACAAATATCCAGTTCAAGATGATGAATACAACTACCATGATTCCCTGCAGGCATATCTCATAGAGGTAATTGGTCATTAGTGTAAGTGGCAAAGGTTATGATAAGCAAGTAGTAACAGGTAGTAACGCTAGAAGCGTGTTTATTAATTACATTTAGGTAAAGCGATACGAAATATACGAAAAAGGAAATAGACAATACATCATTGTAGGGCGAAAGAAACAATGGCTACCAGTATATAAGAAACAATGCACAGTTAGAGATGAGGTATGACTCGGTGAGCATACCTGCTAAGTTTTGATTGGCAACTAGCATTACACACACCAGTAACACCCAGTTCTTGACACGACAGAGCTTCTGGTAAACTGTCCACGTACGTATCTATGAGTGAGTATGTGGGCAGCTTCTCCACTGAATCCTACAGTACAGAGTGAACGTGAGAGTAAACAAAAGCGCATCATGGAGGAGTGGACCTTACATACTCTGCTCGACCAGACTCATGACTCATGCCAGAATCAAACAAATCACAAAAAACAAACAAACAAACAAACAAAACTAACACACAAACAAACAAACAAAAAACCAACAACATCACCAAAAACAAGAACAAAAATAGGCGACTTCCTTCATGGGAATCGCACTAATTAAAACAAACTGAAGCAAAACCGTCAAAGAAACAACAACAAAAGCAAAATAAAGCAGAAGCTGCACTATATGAGAAAGAAACTAAGCAAGTTATTTATTAAATGTAGAGGGATTACCACCTCCATATGCTCAAAAGGAACAAACTTTGCCAAGGACTTCACAGCGTGTAAGTCTAGACCATTTGTCACGTGACCCCCGTACGCAACATCTCCCAACATGGCTTCCATTGCTGCTGGAGATAACGGGGATCGACAAACACGTGACAGATGGCGTAATGCTTCTAATCCAGCAAGCAAGTCTGATTGAGACCTTCAAGAAAGCGAAACAAAGAAAACGAAATTACACACAATGGCCGGAAAGCCTCTCAGTGGGATGAGCCACTGTAAATTCCTATTGATGGAATGATTGATTATATTTTATGAGTTTAAGTTAAGCGTGCAAATAAAATAATTCAGGATATTAGGCGTCCACAATTCGACAGATTGTGAATTTCAGCCGCTGTGAACCAAAGTTGCGGTCGCTTACGAGTTTCTGTCATGTGATAAAACCACATTCACTAATAGATTACTTGTTTGTGAACACCAAGAGGCAGATTCTGTAGCGAACTGTCCAAGAGTAGTAGGTTATTACACAAACTAGAAGTTATCAAACATACCACTGATACGGGCAGCTGAACGCACTCTGTCCGAATTTTCGTCTTTGGAGCAGGACTGAATGAAGATACGCCAGTCCATTAATCAAGTACGGATGAACGTCACTCTAAAAAGTTAAATCAAATTAAACCTTAGCAAGACATCCAAATCGTTTACAACAGAGCCTGAAGTGTCAAAGGTCACAGTACCTGTAAAGCGAAAATTTCCTTCGGCATAAAAGGAAAATACTCTACCTTGAAAACAGATTTCTCTGCTGCTTCTCCCCACAAAGGGACGGAGTTGTTTAGAGACCCTGCAGCAACTCGACAGTTTGTCTGCACAGCCTCCCTGAAATTCTCCTGCGCCTGACACGCCAACTTGAGTCCTTGCTGTATGACAACTGCGGGTAACGGTAAACCGATTTCCGGTTGAGTAGTCAACCATAGCCGGAAGTCAGGGTGGATAAGAACATCTTCGGCCTCGTCGTTTCGTGACTTTTGGTCGCTTCCATTCTCCGCATATTGCCCGGGAGAGTCACTCTCGCTGTCAGTGTCACGCATATTCACGATTGTCTAAGGGAGAAAAAAGTACATCATTAGTGCACAGATAAACTAAATATAATGAACGTTCCTTCCCCTTTTTCCTTCTGTCATCGTCCCATCTGAGACGAAAAAATTCACAAGTGTAGCAGCTCTCGTAAAGTGCTATTATTTTGTTATTGTAGCAGCTGGTATTGTTTTAGGGGCATTGTTTGTGTTATTTGTCCTGTTGTTCCCTTAAAGGGTATCGAGCCATTGATGTGAGACCTTACGAGAGCTACTACATGATCCAAAAATGTCTCTCCAGCATTGACAGAACATACGTCTTTTTAGAACTTGTAGATGCTTTAGCGCATCTATATACGAAATGCGAATAATCAGAGCAAGCATTTTTAAGCCCTTTACAGCGTTATCGATATATGAATATTCTGTATACACAGACCTCCAGCTCGTGCATGAATTCTTCAGACCAACCGGTCGCCAAATGACAGTTTTCTAGAATAACCCAGCAGCCAGTCTTCATGCCTCGTTTCACGGCCGTCAGAGCATTCTTCATGCTAACACTCTCGCCAAGAGTCATTTGGAGCAAACTTTCGTCCTTTCTGTGCGCCCGGGCTAGATTAATGACATCAGTTACAGGGTCTACAAGACAAGAACGGACGTTGACAGTTTGGGTAAACGAGTCGCCGTAAAGTGGTCGCTCGCTGTACTTCTTACTTGACGAAAATTGTGAGTATAAAGAACAGGGACTTTACGTTTTATAGTGAATAGGCTTTGAGCAGTGGCCGAGATCTTTGTACGATGTTTCTAGTCAATACACCTTACCCTCGAACTGCCTTCCCCTAACCCAGGGGTAAACATGTCTTTACGACTAACTTCCGATACAGGGAAAGTAATAATACTCCAGGGTACAATTGTTTTGTTGTTTTTGGCTTCAGTTCTAAAAACTTTCACTGAAATTTTCTATTTACATTTTCTGTCCCCCAGTATTGACGTCGACTAATATTAAATTCCACAAGATATAGCAGTGATCCACACTTGTATATAAGAGACATTAACACCTCGATCGCCTTTTAATTATGGATCAGTGTTAATCCTCTTGGATGCTTTAATCCAAGCTACCACAGTTAAGCATGATGAAGCATCCTTGTGTATGAAAGGGGCTGGGTTTTGTTCCGTTTAACTATGAGTTCTAAACCTTAACTTCGTGGAGCAACAGTCTTTTATTGGCAAAATGCCGGGCCCATATTAAAGAACGATGATTTCCGAGCGTGTTAAATGACACTGACTTCAACTTGAAAAAAAGTCGGGCCGCTGCTTTTCAAGTTCACCCAAATGCAATCCGTTTTAGTCTTCTCCAACTTTGCCCGTCACGCCCGCTTTTTTTAATGTCCTGTGTCTATTTTCAGTCCTAAGCTGTTCTTGCGATATTTCAGTTTATTTTATAACCAGTTGCTAAGAGTAGAAATTATCTCACATCGGTGACATAGCCTTTTAAGGAATTCTAACAGTCTTCGTGATTTACCTTTTAACACGTTTGCCTCTCCTTGCGCGAGAATTTCGTGTGACGGCAGTAAGAATATAACAGGACAGGAGGAGTTAGTGACTGGATACACTTGGTGCAAGTCGTATCCTGATGATCGAGTCATACTGGCTCCCATTTGATAAAGGACAATATCTTGACACACCTGGAACAACTGAAATGGAGAAATGACATGACTTTTTTTGCGGCAATCAACAAACGGCTCATTTTAATAATTAACGAGCATAACAAGACACGGCCAACAGGTCAAGAACGAACCACAAGAATACAAACAAAAGAAAAAAAATCTGGGAAAGATGAACTTTATTCGTTTGTCTCACGATGGAGTCACTTTGAGATGTTGATCGCGACGTTTCGACTGTTATACTGCTAGTCTTCATCGTGCTACAAATAGCGACACGCAACAATCGACCTCATCGCCTGATAAAGACTGGCAGTATAGCAGTCGAAACGTCGCGATTAACAACTCAACTTGACTCCATCGTGAGACAAATGAGAGAAAAATTCATCCATCCTATCTTACACCACGATGAACAGACACATCTTTAATGACAGAAAAAAATCTGTGCTAAAACTTAAAGAAAAAAACGGTTTTGTTCCTTATTTTCACTATTCCATTAACGTAACAGTTGTTAATGACTTTATATAACAAGACACAGCAAAAGTTTCAGAACCTGCCAAAAAAACTTTTTTGATTCTATTTGTCACTATTCCATTAAAGCAACACTGATGGTTGAGCCGACTTTCCACATCGTCACACCTCTCGCACATCATTATTATTACAATGTGAGAAAAATTAGAATTGACATGTTGAGTGTAGCTTTGGCCTAAACGGGGGATGGGCTGACTTTTTCTTAAAGACTGACTGCTTTCTAGGCCTGGATTAAATAATCGACCATAAAGTTCAGCAACTATATGGCACATCCACTCTTTCTACAGGTGTCTGAAGAGACTCTTTTGAGTTTTTACGGCACGCAAAAACGACAGCCAAAGAATTGAAAACAGACTGCTTATGTACTACCAATAAACTCGGTAATTTAAGACAACCGTTATGGAGGACGACCATTTATTTAGTGACGATAGAGTCAAGCGCCAAATTTCTCGTACCTGGTCTCTTTGAAAGGTTTTCCACAGTAACGCTTTCTGAAAGGTAGTCAGATGCGCGTAGTCGCCAGGAGTCACACCAAGGAGAACTGGAGGTAGCTGTGGAAGACAAACGAACCAACAACAATTAGCAAGACTACAGGAGGGAAATAAACCTAAAATGACATTACAGCTCAAATAGTGTGTGATCTCCTTTTCTCTTATAGAGTTGAAACACAATCTAAATCCATGGGCTTATCATCATTATTGTTGCAAGGATATGTGTCTACGTTTTCAGACGCTTTTTCGGTAATACTTTCCTAAGGAAGGTGAGGGGTGCCAACTTTACTCCGAACTCCATCAAAAGGGCCTAATTGCATCATCGCAAACTATATCGTGCAGTGTTCGTCATTTCTCGACAGTTCAGGCTTATCGTAATTATTCTGGTTATTTGTTCATGTAAAACAGACGAACATGACATGAATAATTACTGGTCGTAAGTAAATAAGCAGGACAAGACAGAAGCAATCTTTGCGGCATGCGTGACAATGAATCTCACATTAAAGTACTCGCGCCACAGATCTGACAGCTCCATAACAGATTGCTTCAGACCACTGAAGACTGGAAGAAGCTCCAGCTCATCTGCTGACTCCCAAACCTAACAAGGAAACAGAGGTAGTAAATTGTACAATAACTTGATTGGGACTGAAGCGACAAATTAAGAGCAATGACTAAGAGTAAAAACTTAGCGAACAAATTACTAGAGCAATGAAAATGTGTCAGTATTCCCCAAAAGCAATGAAAACGTGTCAATATTCCCCAAAAATTAGGGGAAAAAAAGAAAATGAAGAAACGTGAGTGAGATGGTGATGGACACGGAACACAAATGACAAGCACGGCGAGGATTGTCTGAAAGTGTCACGATCCTCAAATGTGAAGTTCAGTGCTCAAACCCAGACAGGGCGAGGCAGAGTCCAACGCGTGGACTGACGACCATTTTTGACTAAGCGATTGTACGTTATGAACCTTCGGGTCCTTTAAGGCGTCCAAAAGGTGACGTTAATACAGACAACTAAATCGCGACAACTTTTATTTTAGAACACATTCAATGTTTTGCTTTTCATACCTGCTGTGAGACCCACTGTGGAGTATCGCTATCTAGAACGCGATCAGCCTGGGTGTTGTTGGGTAACTGGGTAAACAGCTGCCATTCATCGCACGAGACGGAACCGTTGTTCATCATTTTCTCAACAGCCAGTAAAAATGCAAACACGTGATTATCACCTGAAAAAACACCGAGAAAGCTGGTGTGAGGTCCATTATGCAAATACTGTGGGGGAGAGGGAAGTGGGGACCCCAAAGAATATCCCCCTCGGAAGCCAGGTTATGACTTCCTTCGGAAAGCTCAGTTGGCTATCATGCTCGACTTCCAAAACGTATCGGACGGGGCCTTTCGACTTAAATTTGAACCAAATTATTAGATCAAGATTATATAAAAAAAGAAAAGATCATATCATCGTTTTAAACTGGGAAATTAGTAACAAGAGGAATTGGTTTTTCACAACTGCCACGCAGGCCCGGTTTGTTTGAAAGCCGGTTAACACTAACCCATGATTAAAAGTTAACGAAAGTATCAATTCTTGTTGTATAAAATGCTTCTCTCTGTTTCTCTTTTGTGTGGTTTGAGGTTATTCAAACTCAAAACTGAATATAAACAGAAAACATCGCCGATGAGTTGCAGACTGAAATAAAWATTCTCGCTTCATCGAGCTTCGGACAACCCAGCCCAGTTGCACAGGTATAACTAAATCTGCGCTACACATGTAGTATTTATGAAAAGTAAATGAAATTAGCGCAAGTAGTACCTTTGGAATTTGCTAAAACGATGAAAATGTAAATAAGGTACAAAACAGGGAACTACTTACTTTGGAACAAACTCCAAGAAGTGCGCTCGAAGATTTTCCTCAACAAAGCGGTGACGAGTTCTGCTGCTCTGGCGGCTGGTGAACCGCTGCTCTTCTTGCCTCGGTTCCTCTCAGCTACAGTGTCGTGAAAGAGCTGTACGAATGCGTCCAGTGGAAAGCGATAGTATGGGTGCAGCTTCTGCAGTTCACACATCACCGAGAATAGCAACGCGCCATGTTGGGCCACAGGAAGAAAATCACTCTGCTTCGTTAAGAGCTCTGTTTTCATCGTCTGTGCAGGAAAAGAGAGCGGCTTTGAATTGAGTGTCGTAAAACCAAAAGCAAAGTAATTGCTCTGGCCAATCACAAAGGACACAATAAATCGAATGGACGAACCAAAACTTATAGCAAATACATGAAGCTGACGCGAAGGGCATAAAAACTTGTGCGAGCGAGTTGCGGTTGGTTTTGGTTTTACTTCGGATTGTACCAGAAAGTGGCGCGAGTTTTTTTAAGCCAATCCTGTAGCGTACTAATATAAAATCAATTAATTTTCGATAACCAAGTGAAAACCGCTCTAACATTGCTGAAGTATAATTTAATTACAATATTTGAAGAGGAAGCCACATTACTCCTGGCTGGTTTCCATGCAGGTCCGCTTATAATCCTGGTCGAATTGGAATCCGAAAATGTTATTTTTATTATTATTATTATTATTTTTGGAGGGAGGAAACGCGAGATGTTCCACATATGACACCAGGCATGAATCGGAACCAGGCCACTTTGGCGAGAGGCGGGTGATCTACTACGCCCATCTCCCTTAATATGAATAAGATGTCAGCCAGCGAAAAAGGCTAAAACAGCCACAAGTCAACAACTCACGTCAGCCTCACTGCATCTCTCTTCTGCCATGGATATGACATCTTTACTCTTAATGACAGAATCCAGCATGGAAGTGTCTTTCAACAGAGGACCACTGAGGCTAAGAACCTTCTCAAGGATAAACTCCTGAAGAGGAAAAAATACAGGAATATTGTAAGAATTTAAATAATAAAGAAAATACAAATAAAATTGAGCGACTTCTGTTAATGATTCATGGACTTTTGTAAGGGAAGGAAAACCTAGTTTGTTCATGTCCAATTATCTTTCAAACTTTGAATAATATTCAAGGCAATTGAGAAATAAATACAGTGGTAAAAGCACAAAGTACGTGCTGGTTGTAAAGAAATTTGTCTTCAGCGCTAGCGCTCTTTTAAGGATTGCTTTTCCTCGACCGTATCTTTTAGTAGATTCTTAGAAAAAACAAAACAAAACAAAACGTCAAGTCGATGGAAGAGCGGAGTCCATGTTCCAAATTCTCGCTGAACTTTCAGTAACTTTCATCTAATGGCCCCTAAAATAAAGTTACTCAGCTAATCGAATCGAAGGACTTGCGTCAGAAAACCGCTTGGTTTCTTCTGACGTACGTTTGTTTCCAAGTTGCTGAAAATTCTGCGAAAAGTAGATGGCTGAGTAGAGTTATCTGTCATTAATAGCACCTTGGCATGATCAATCTGTTGTTTGTGGAGGCCAACATCCCTCTCAATCGATCTCAACTGTCCATCAAACTCGGGTCTCTCAAGCCGCAACGTGTCTGCCAACAGCATGTCGCAGATTCCCTCTCGGCTCATTTCCATGCTAATGGTGCAAGTCTTGGAAAAGGGCAGCGGACACTGTCCCTCTCCGGGCATGAAGAGAGGCAGAGACGAACTAAGGTAGAGGCAGAATGAAGGGTTATACTCCACGGTAGTCTTGCCAATAGTCACTTGGAGAACTCCGTCTGAGTTAGTGAAGGTTTGTCGAGTAAGAACCAACTCCAGCATTTTGTCCCAACGTCTTCTTTCAACGTGGGTGACCAGCACCACTAACCCTTTCTTGACGGCGGCGCGAAGTTTATTGACTGCAACAAAGAAAGTGGCAGTTTTTGCGATAAAGCAATCGTATCATCTTCAAATGGAAAGAAACGCCGTAGTTAAGATAACTGAAGGGCCCAGCAACTCCCTGAGCCTCAGGCCAAACTAAAAACGCATTTCCTTGCAAAAGAAAACAACAAGCGCGTTTTTTTTTTGCTTGAGCCACTTAAGGTACGTGCGTTATGTTAGATCGCTCCTTGGGCAAGACCCCTAAAAATCTATCTGTTAGCGTTTCCTGATGATAAAACCTATTAAAGCGGAGTTTACAGCACCTTTGGTCAATATCTGCTCAACATCCGCAGACACCAGCGGTAACACGGCTGGAATCGAACTTACAGACTTCCTACCTTTCATTTTTCTAGACAGGCATGTCTTGCGTTAGTCAAAAGAAGGTGACCTGATTCAAAGGGAAAAAACGCTAGAAATTCCCCTCTCTGATGAAGGATTTACCTAACATAGGATCATCAGCTTGCACGACAAGAATTCGTCCTTCGCTCAGGTTCATGACTGGAGTTGGACCAGAAGGTAACGGCTGAGGGGAGCCGTCGATCTACCAAAAGATAAACACAGAGAGCTGTATATTAGGTAATCAATTATAAAATATATGAGGTACTACGTGCGCTCTCATTGATAGATAGGTGCTTTTAGATGAGAGAGTACGTAAACACGGTTGTGACGTTTTAGATTCGCGTGTGAACCGAGAAAATACATGGTATACCACTCGAAAGCGTTGCGTGACTGGTATTACTATATTTTAAGGTAGGTAAGGTATCAGAGCATACCTGTATTCCCATGGCTTCAGCCAGCTTCTCAGTTAACACCTTGTCACTGAAGCTCGTCAGAACACTCCCTGCTGTGCGCTCGGTTCTGGACGTAGCTGGAGTCTCAGTCTGAATCTCGGCCTCTTGAAAGCTGGACTCCTGGTCATCTGAATATCAACGAGGACATGATAATATAAGACTCGTGTCAGAATGGAGTAAATATATCTTATTAGATGTTTTGGTGTGTAGTATCGCTGTATATTTTTACGAATTGTGCCGTATTTTGACGAGCCCGTAGGGCGAGTCAAAACATCTAAATCCTTAGTTTTAGTTGCGATTGAGAAGATCTATAAAACACTCAAGATACCAAAGCAAATGCGTATTTCTTTCGACACTCAAATGAAAGAGCGCTCTAACATTGAATACCCATAAGATTATACAATAATGTCAGCTTTAGTTAAGAATGTTGCTCATAATTGCTTCAAATGTTTAAAATGCTTCACTGTTAAGCTGGTACAAAAGCACGTATTGGGGTTGCATCCTTACCTGTCTCTTTAAGCGACTGGAGAAACTGATCCACTTCATTATCTGAGAGCTGTGGATCAGCTTCATCATCGTCTGCTCCAGACTGATCCAGATTAGCGTAATCTAAAGCGGGAGCAGTATCTAACTCAATGGATGATCGCCCAGATTGGCGTGAGACAGAGCGTTCGGACTGTCTTGTCTCTGGACGGCTGTTTTGACCTTCATCCAATGTATCATCTACAGACGATAAACAAGAAAATCAACAGCAAGCTTCATTTCCCCTTGGACTAGCAGAAATATTTTTACAAGGTTATATACTGATAGAGTTTGGTGCCTGGCAACTTGAAACAACTAGAGAATTAAGAAGGGCAGGAAGCCAGGTTTACACGAGGTTCACACTCACAACTAAGACGGTTTACACGAGTCGTACCATACACTACAGCGGGCTTACAATAGGTTTTCACAGGAAAATAGGACTTCCATGAGGTTTAACAAAAAACAATGAGGGCTAATGCTACGTTTCAACAGAAAATAAAAGCCGGTTTGTGCAGCAATTCAGAAGATTTACAATACGTCTGAACGGACTAAATGCGGACAATTGCACTTGTTTAGACTTGGTTTATCAGATAAGAAAAGTGGCGTTCCACTAGGTTATAACAAGCAGGTTAAGCCTACCAAGGTTCAGCCGGCAATAAAGCCGGTTCATTCAAGACTAACGTTAAACAGTGGACCACTTCAACAATGTGACGCGATATCAACAATCTTTCTTATTTCTCATAAAAACAATAACAATAAAATGCACCTCCATAGATCAATTTATCATGCCGAAGATAGTAAACATGCGCAGTTTCATAACAATCCGTTGCAAACTTGTGGAAATACGGGATCCCAAACCTGCCACTTCTTACAAAGAATGTATGCCAGGGGGCACGTGCTTGTCCCTACCATACCTTTCGTGGAAGAGGTCCATTAAATTTAAAGGCAAAGATTTAAATTGCCTTAAAATCTAAGTAGTAATCTCCAATACCTTTAAACTAGGCCTCAGGAAAATGTTTTATTTTAGACACAAAACACAAACACTAAAAATATAAAAAAAAAGAAAAAAAAAAAAGAAAGAAAAAAAAAAAAGAAAGACAAGAAAATAGAGCCCTTATCCATAACTCAGCCTGATTATGCGGATCGATCAACAGCGGCCAGGCACGCGTCCGATCATCACTACAGCTCCTCAGTATCAAAGCGTTTTGCAGCGCCTGCTCGTCGGTGGGTAACTCATTTCTCTTCCACTCATCCACCTCGTTGGCAGCAGCTAGTATCGTTTTCAGTGACACATCTTCACGCAGTGGCACCGTGTTAGTAGATAAGGTTGATGCAAGCGTCGACTGGGTGGTCGGACGGGAGGTTCTACCTGTCAGAAAATATGGCATACTTCGTTTAGGTCTTAAATTTGGTTGAGTCGGGAGGGGGAGGAGCTTTCTTCAATTGCCCCAAACCAATGACGTAAAACGATAAGATAAAAAGTTTTATTGTTCAAATACGCTAAAGCTATAAGAGTGATTCACCACAGCCAAGACTAACGCGTAAACAACAGCATAACGTCAGTAGGGATGGGCCGCATAATTCAGATTTTGGCTGATGGCTGGAGCGGTTATACAAAAGGGTCACTTAATAAAACGTTTCTGGAAAGCAAAATTCATTCTAAAAGAGGTTCAAACAAGACTAATCTTAGCTTAACAAACACTGTAGCCAACAAATCACTACCTGCATTATTTGGCTCAGTGTAATTGCGTTTGTTCCGAGAATCTTCGAGCACCATTGACGACAAACTGAGCAGTCGCTTTTCGGGCTCTCGCGACACCCCATCACACACCCTCAGCCAGTCAGCAAACAGCTCATCCCTGGCAGCAGGTACAAGAGGTCCCAGGTAACACACGGCGGCAGCTGTGACCAGGGCATCACCTGGTGCAGTGAGAAGATGCTGCTTGGCGATCGATCGATTGCTATGCCACAAGTTAGAATAGGTGGACAGACTGTCGACAAGCGCCACTCCCTTGGCTTACACAGCTTGTATGTTCTATCGAAAAAAATTGCTTGTGTGTGAGCTAGAATCGTCGTAAAACCATATAAAGTTTGCCCCGAGCAAAGTGGCCCAAAGTGCCAGAGCATACCACTATTTTAGGACCATTAAGTGGTTAGAATTATTTTCACTGCCTCTTGGATGGGATGCTAGTCTTTCGCAAGGTTACTCCTAGCGTTAACTTCGCCGGTACCCAGTTATACACCTGGGTGGAGAGAGGCAACGCGAGAGTAATGCCTTGGCCAAGAACAAAACTCCTGCCACGGTTAAAACTCGGATTGCTTGATCTGAATGACAGCACACTAAGCATTAGGCAACTGAGCCTCCCCGTAGTTAAAACGAACAACTGTAAAACTGGCTAATTTTGACATGTTTGGCTTCGTGACTTCTTTTATTCTCAACAGAAAGTACAGGGCCGATTGAGCAATGACAGATGTGCATAAACAGATGTGCACGACAGATGTACATCCACGGAGGCCGAGCCAAAGAGCCCACCAATAAAGTATCATTATAGAGAGTTTAGGGGATCTAAGTGAAACAAAGAATACAGCATATTGATATAAATTCGTGAAGGAACATTGCAGTTCTCGCTGTTAATTTCTTTTCAACTGTCAAGAGTCTTTACCTGGATCTGTTTTTCAACTGTCCTGGAATGTTTGACACTGTCTTTGTACAACTGGATATTTGACTCAAGCTCTTGTTTGATGGCATTACACCTCACTCGCATCTCTCCTAGAATGGACTTTGCCTGCGAAGGTACGATCACATTTTCAGCATAATACGAACATAAAAGACACAATTGACGGCATAAGTAGTTGACACATTCGAGAAACAGTTCTTCATGCAATATTCTCACCTCTTAAAATTCACTACAGTAGTCCACAATACCCTCACCCGTTCACTGTTGTTAGACTGCATGACAGACATCACAAAACGAGACTCGGCATCACTTGCGCGGGAGAAAAGGGAAGGCGGGGGGAAGGGGGAGGGGTCTAAAATAAGGACACTGGGTTTACACTGTAAGTGGTTGTCATATTGTCTCAAAATGGGGCTCAAAACGACGGTCTCTCAAAAATATTGCCGCCAATAATTTAAGTTTTCAGTTCAGTTCAGCTGTAAGGGAGACAATCGGTGCGGGATTGGTGTGAGATGTGATAATCACAACACGAAATCTGAAAATAAAAACCTAGATTTTCTTAATCTAATACTCGTTCTCTGATCTCACGGTTCCTTAAATCACATGGAATACCTTTTCGAGTTCCTGCTCTGCCTTCCGCAGCTGCTGTCGTTTTGGTTCCAGGGCTCTGTGTACCAAACAGAACTCGTACACGGCTCGTACCCACAGACAGAGAGACCTAGCAGCCACGCTGCCGTCCTTGACAATGTCTGCACGGAACAACGGGTTGTCGTAAAAACCTCTGAGCGCATTGAAAATAGCATCAGGCATGCCAATCATGTTGTAAAATTCCAGATCTTTGAAGAAGTCGTTCCGGTTGAGGAGAAGCTTGCCCTCTTCCCAGCTGGAGGCGAAATAAAAAATTAGATCAAAAAAACAAAACAAAACAAAACAAAACAAAAAAACTAGACATTTGTAATTAGACCTTAATAGACTGGCCTTCCTAGGCTAGCACTAGCTATCCGCGGCCACTCTAAAATGTAAATTGAGGAACGGAAATAAAAATTGATTGATCGATGGATTGACTGAACAAATTCGGATTGCCAAGGAAGCAGCAACTAGGCAGACTGATAAGTCTAGCGCTAAAGTAGATTATTTATGTGTTTAACGTAACAGTGTATTTGTTGTACGCTTTTACGGAAGTAAACCCGACGCAAGTACGTAAACCATCACCATCACCAGCCCCCACTCCCCNCCCCCCTGCAAGAAAAGAAAAAAAAAACAAAAAAACAAAACAAAACAAAACAAGGCAAAACAAAAAATCTCAACGAGATTTGGAAACCTACGTCTGCTCTTTTCCAAATAACACACAAATTGCATCTACAACCAATCTAACAATCGCAGGCGGAGTTCGGTAACTTCTGATTTCTTCTACATCGTGAATATCCAGCGAATTGATGGCCTTCCATGCTGCGTCAAACAAGGGGTTGACCTGAAAAAACTAACAGTTAATGACTGGACAGGAGGGAATCTCAACGTGTTGCTTCTGGTCCAATCTTGCACAGGGGCAATAATCTTCCTCAACACAACAATGATGCAAGTTATCATCGTCACACTCACCTTTTCAAACTCGGCCTGAGCCTCCTTTTTGAGGATCTCAATGGGTCCCTGCATGCCCTCGATATCCTGCTCCTGTTTCTTGCAGCGGTCCTTGGCAGCAGCATACTCCTTTTGACACGCTTCCACAGCCTCGTGTCGCAACTGCACGTCCGTCTTGGACGCTTCAAACACCGGTGCCAGTTGATCTAACTCTCGCTGCATCTTGTTCAGACTGTGAGTAGCTTCGTCTATTCTCTTGATAGCTTTGTCTAGGTGAACTACCTCTTCCTGGAAAATAGTTTGAGATAAAAGTTAAATACCGTCAGTGTTGCTTAAAGTGCGTTTAGTGGAAGTTATTTTATACATGACATATGCAGAAGCGGTTATGAACATCTGTTCACAGAATAATGGGATTCTAAACTGCATTTGTCAGCAGAACGGCCTTATGAATCACAAGGGACGAAGAGGATGAACTGAGTGAGTGAAACTAAGCACAAATTTGAATTTTGACCTAAGCTCAATTAAAGATCTCCTTAGAACATCTGCGGGCATTTTTATTAGCTTTCATCATTATTCACATCATGAGGAGAAACTTATTCATAGTCAGAGGTAAAGGGATCTCAATCGCCGGTTTCTATTTGCCCACAGGGACCCAGACCAACATTTTTCTTGGGGCGTTCTTCACCACTGCTGACTAATTCTCTATCGCGAGTGCTGGTGTAGGTAAAAGTACGTGTCAATGTCGCTTGTTCACTTCGACCTATCGCTCATGATATAACTCTAGTTCTCACCTTTTCTTTCAAACATAACCTCTTGCATATCTTCCTGAACAGATCTATAAAATCCAAATACGTATCAGGCGAGTAGAACTTCAGCGCCTCCATTCCGTAAATCCTCCTCACCATGCTTCTAGAAGAGAGGTGAACGTGCGCCATTATTGAGCACACAGCTGCAGACTGCGCATCTTTCTCTCGTCTTTTCAGTGGCAAAAGACTAAAAACGCTCTCTTCCTCTTCAAGTTGTTTCTGCGCTATGCTAACAAGTGCCTCGTGAGGCCAGGCTCGGTAAATATCGACACAACAGCTTCGTGTTACCAGCGCTGGGAACTTATACAACTGGTTCTTTTCCAAAGAGTTGGACAAGTCAAGCTTTCTATATTTTAAGCAGATCACGACATGAAGGTGCGATCTGACGCGACGGAAATATCGTTCCTGTGCGATATCTTGGTTTTCCACTCTGCGAGCTCCACGTTTTCCACCGGGAAGAAGCTGGTTGGAGATCATGAAGAGCTCGTTGGGTGTGTAAAGGCCAGGGCATGTACCTAGAAAACATTAGCCAGATTAAACGTCAGATTCCTTTTTTATATATAACCATGCGAGCCTAGCATAGCAAGAAAAAAGAAGAAAAAGAAGTGTACAGCGCCATTCTTTCTTCCCTCGACTAAAATTCTTGACCAGATATAAGACTGATATCAGTAGTTTCACTAGCAACCTTTGATGCACGCGAGGTGTTGAATTATGGAAGTCCCAGACACATAGGTTCCCAAATCTCCACTGATTGAAATCATAGTGGTTGCAATAGTGTATACATGGGTAGGGAGGTCTAAGGAGACTAATAGAGCGGTTTTCAAATGACTGTCGAAAGTAATCACTTCAGGCAGTTACTTTGGCTTTGGTTTTGGTCAAAACCAAGCCAAAACCAAACCAATTACTTACCAATTAGACTACTCAGCCAATCTCAAACCGTAGTAAAACCAAAACCAAAACCAAAGTAATTGTCCAATTACTTTCGACACTCAAATGAAAACCGCTCTAGCTGAGTAGTCTAATTGGTAAGTAATTGGTTTGGTTTTGGTTTTACGATACTCAATTGAAAACCGCTTTAAGCTAAAAGCTTTTATAATTTTGTTACTAGTTTTATGAAAACATTAATTACATCCCACAAGAAGCTGAGGGGAAAAAGAGGTGTACTGAACCTTTCTTTCATTGACTTGAATTATCGACCTAACTTACGGCCGGCAAGATGGACGTACTGGTAAATTGCCAACAATTCTTTCAAAAACCATTCTGTGAGCAACAATAGCTTAACGCTTTTCTGGCCTTTTGACTAGCCTCTTAACCAAGCGACGTGCTTAGAGACACTCTATCTTTCATGAAGAAGATTGGGATTCTCGGAGTTGAACAATAAGCTGTCAATGTTATGAAAGTTCACCTGGATAAACTAAAAGCTTGACATTTCCTGGAAACTGAGCCCATTTTGACATATACGAGGAAAAAGTAAACTGTGGCCATCAACAGCTGTCAACACTGACAAAAGAGATGCAGTGATAAAATAAGCGATATTTACCTTCAGACATCAGTGAACAGATGTCCTGCATGGATCCATCACAAACGCCTTCTGGTACAAACAACACTACAGGCTTTCCTTGAAGACCAGTGATGAATGACGCGACTTTGATCTGCTGTCTGAGGTCCTCTTGACTTTGGAATTGGCTTCGTTGTACCTCTATGAGCTAAAAGAAGAAAAAATTGGTACACATAGCAAGAAAAATCCGATTTCCGTATATTGCGGAGAGCCTGGTGAGGGAAAGAACGAGGGAGAGGAAGATCGAGGAGAATGACAACGGGAAGGAAATATGAAGAGAGCGAGAAAGGGAGAAGATGAAGGAGGGAGATAGGGGGAGAGAAAGGGAGGGAAAGAGGGAGGGAGGAAGGAGGTAAATGGCAAAAAGGGGAGAGGGGGAGGGAGGAAGATGGGTAGAGAGAGAGAGACGGGTGAAGGCAGAAAGGGAAGGAGCAGGGAAGGAGAGAAGGGATGGCCCGGCAGGCAGGCGGACGGGCGATCGGGTAACCGGGCTCTAAGGAAGGAAGAAGATTGGAACAGAAGGATAGAAATATGGAAATGAGTGACTGCCCGACCGACAAACTGATCGACTAAAAACGAGAGTGGAACCGTAGCAGAAAGGAAACAACAAAAACCCGAAAGAAAAAATAAGAAGAAAGGAAAAGAGACAAGACCCTATACCAACCTTGCAACAAGCTGCATGTGCAGTAACCCTGGTCAGCGTCCTTCTTCCATAGCCAAGATCAGACAACAATAGTGCATGACCTCCTGGTGTGGCCTTGGTAAAGACAGGACAGTCATAAATGTAAGAAGACAGTTCTAGAAGCTGAACACTAAATCTATACTGTGTAGCTATCTGCTTCCTAACGCAATCTTCTATTAAAATTTAGTTAAGCATTTTTAATGCATTTTTTTAATGCATTTTTTTAATGCCTTTTAAAGGCCGAGAAAAAGTAAGATGCTGTATTCTGAAGATATCAAAATTATAAAAAAAGGTCAATAAAAACAAAAAGAAACTATATATTGAAGGCTGAACTGATCTTCGGATCGTTGTGCTTTCTGCTTATTGAGAGTTGACCGCGCATCATCGATTCCTTGATGTTGGGCAACTGCTCTAGTCTGTCTAAGGGAGATGCACATTGCTCTCAATGTTTCAGGATGACTGTGAAATCATATAAACATCGTGTAAAGCAAGAAAATAAGGATTTACCAGTGCTCGGCTCAAACGCGCTGCATGTTGAAGGGCCTCACGAAACGTCACCAAGTTCATTATCCTGGCTCCACTGCCTGACTCCACCACCTGAGCATTATAAGAGGCCAGACAACGCCTAATGCCTTGCTCCAAGATGCTTTCAGCGCACTCAAGGTAGTTCTTGCTGGCCACCTCGCTCGCACTACTCTCTCGCCCGGTCACAGAGGCGTTAAAATGCTTGCAGAAAATGATGTCTGTAAGATCCTCGCCAGAAAACGCCAACTGCTCCGACGAAATCAAGGGACCATCATAGCTCTTGTCGTAGCTTACACCGCTAGTGTCGTCAAACGTGACCTTAACACGGACTGGCTGAAGCAGCGACGTGCTCTCCGCTAAAGTCGGCTCTCTACTAAGAGTTTCATCTTCTTGAACTTCCAATCTATCTGGATCAACGTCGTTCACATTTTGTTCTTCTACTTTTGGAGGAAATCCCCCTTCGTCGTCTTCCATCTCGACAGCTTCGTCATTCGCTTCTTCCGGCAAAGGGTTTTCTTCCGTCACAATAGTACCAATTTCACCTTCTTCCTCGTCTTCTTCAACAGCACTTTCATCACTTGGTGCCCGTAATTCTTGAGTTGGTAGAGCCATGGAGTCGTCTGGTTGCATGGATGCCTCATCCTCCCCTGTGTTTTCGAGTTGTTCATCACTGGCAGTAGGTGGGGGTGCATTTCTACCTGGCAAAACTTCTGCAATAAACAAGACAGTGTTATCTACAAGATGCAGGCTGCGTTTCTCATTAAGAAACGATCAAGGTAACGGTTGTGATTGTTATGAATGACTACAACACTGTTTACATTGCTAAAAGAATCACGTAACCAAAACAAAAAAGCGTTACACTGGAAAATATGCTAACATGTATAGTTTAAACGTGAAATAAAAATAACTGAATCCAAACATCGCCTGCAAATAGTTTGGTCTAGATTTTTAACAGCTGAAAACTTACAGCTCAACTCAAAGATAAACTCTTCACGATCCCTATTTTTGCGCTTATGATTCTTATTCTTTGCAACGGACCTCGCGAGCTACCCTTTGTGTTTTGAACTGATGTTTTTCTCACTACTAGTAAAGGTCAGGTTCACACGAAAGGGTTTGACTAATTAACACCCTTACTTAAACCTACTGCTTCAAGTTGGTAAAGAGACAACAAGTGGAAAAGTCACAGAGTTCAATAGTAACGTGACAATGTGTTCATTGTAAATAATTATTGTTTTTACTACCAGAACGTCCACTTACCTCGCAATTTTTTTTGTTCCATCTCTAGCTTTTCCACAGAGAACATTTCGGATCCCTGCTCGGAGTTGTCCCTGCAGAAGAACTCTTCGACGGAGTCGTGTAACAGAGAAGAGAACCAGTACCGCTGTTCCTCGGTGAACAGGCGATCACTGTATGTACGAGAGCTTTCGTGACACCACAGACGAAGAATGGAGCGAATCATTGGAGACAGTGCAGCGGGTGTTTTGCTTTCAGTTGAATCGCTCGTCAGCGACGGCCAACTGAAATGGTAAAATAATCCAGTGAAGACAAATATGATACATGTAAATAGAACAAACCATACGACAAAAACATTTCTATGTAGAAAAAATAGAAGCTGCAAAAGTGCTTAGAATAAAATGTAGGGAGCTTTTCATTCAGCCAAAAATTCTGGAACATTCGAAACAGCGATAAATGGTACGGAAACGGTTTTGGGAAGTTTCCAAAAAATTCGAAAATTGTAGTTTTTCTGAAATGCGAACCATTCAACCAAAATTTCAGAAATAAAGGACACAGGAAAGAGCCTATGAACTTCAGACGCCAGTCTAACCCTAACTAAGTGAAAACACTTACCCTAAAAAATACTCTACTATAAAGTAACTCTGACCCTCATACATGTAGAGAGCTAATTTCAACCTAAAGTCTGCATGTTACACTGGAGGCTGCAGACTAAATTGGTTTTATGATAAACAGTTGTTTTCTTTTCTTTTACGTTAAGGGTTAAATTAGGATTGGGTTTAACTTTTTGGGTTAAGGTATGATAATTCCTGCTACATAATGCATTCTTGTTTGCTTGTTGTAGTTGTTGCTGTTGACGATGGTTTTTCGTCATGAAATTTAATCTTTAATCTTTAATCATTATCTACACACGGTAAAAAAAAATTCACCAGGTACAATATTCCACTAAAATGTCTAAGATCCTAAACCTGAAATTCTAACCCTAATATTATAATAACTTACAACAATATTCTACTTATAAACCTGATTTTCATGAATGCCGTGTGTTTAAAANGAGATTTTGACTTCAGGTCTCAGTTGTTTAAAGGGTGAATAATCAACCAGATAAATCACTATTCAGTGGATAGCTTAGCTTATTTCGTTAACACTACAGTCTGTTACCCACTAGACAGTGACTTATCCGGTGGATAGCTTCGTCCACCTTTCAACCAACTGGGTCCTGGGTCTTGGCAGCTATGTACGTTCAAAGTATCCCTAGTTGTTTTACCTTTGCCAGATGTTCATGATGGGTTAGGGAATATGCTGGAAACTCCTCCAACCAAGAAAGAAAAACTGAAGAGTAGATCGTCTCCAGTGAATCAGAAGACAGAGGAAAGAATGACAGGACTGTCATCAGCCTGGACAAACGATGACTGATAGAATACGATGCCACTCCTCCACAGGAGGTTCCCGCACCGGGAGGTACACAGGCAGCCATGAACTGAAGGTGTTGGACTCTATACAAGTGATATCGTTGCTTGTTATACAGCGTGCCTGAAAGATACGTCAACGACAAGTAACGTTAAACTAAAGATACGTGATCTCATGGTGGAGAGGACAAAGCGAAAGGTGAACATATTTAGTTTCCACGAGTACACAATCTAGGCACTTGATTGCTTTGCATACACCATCATATTGCAGGGGGGAAAAAAACGTAAAATTCCCTAACCTATTCCTGATAAAAATAAAAATGTCAGATACAGTAGCGGCTTCTAGCCTTCCCTTACAGCCCGCGTTCTTTCTATCAAGACTGATAAGTTTTCAACAAACTTTCCCTATTCCTTAACATCTTAGGGAAAAACACCGTTGAGATCACAGTGACCCCAAATGTTTCTTCCCGCCTTCAACAGTATTAAATCAATGGNAACATATTTAGTTTCCACGAGTACACAATCTAGGCACTTGATTGCTTTGCATACACCATCATATTGCAGGGGGGAAAAAAACGTAAAATTCCCTAACCTATTCCTGATAAAAATAAAAATATCAGATACAGTAGCGGCTTCTAGCCTTCCCTTACAGCCCGCGTTCTTTCTATTAAGACTGATGAGTTTTCAACAAACTTTCCCTATTCCTTAACATCTAAAGGAAAAACACCGTTGAGATCACAGTGACCCCAAATGTTTCTTCCCGCCTTCAACAGTATTAAATCAATGGTGCTCAATTAGTTCAATTTTAAATCCTGAGTTTTCTTCGAAATGTCAATTTTCCCTGATTAAAAAAAAAAAGAAATTCTCTCACGTTTCCTTGACCTTGAATTTTTTTTTTCCCGATCATTTCTTGACCTCTGGCAGCCCCGTCTAAGGGAGGAGAGGACAAGGCGAGCACACGAGCACACAAATGTGACTTGACCTCTTTGCATACACCCTCACCAGTAAGAAATAAGTAACGAGAAAAACTAATATTACCTTGTGAGAGGATTTGCCGCAGGAGCTCAAGCGGAGGTTGAATTTCAAAAGCGTCAACAGCAGCACAGTTCAGATCGTCAAGAAACATGAGCTGGGTACGAGATTTGGAACCAGGAAGATTCTTTACTGCCACACTCCCCTTTTTAAATGACACTTGACTCATCTCCTTGCGTTGAATTTGTTGAAGCTTGTGTTCGATCGCCTCTTGAAGCAGCTTTGAAGTCAGGCCTGGTGACAGGCAAATCCGGGTGGCACTGTGCCGTGGGTTGATCAAGTTCTGTGAGACAAAGCAAATGCTAAAAAAAAAATGGCCGTTTTAATGCTGGGGAGGCTAATGTCGTGTCGGACGTTAAAGCTCTCTCGAGACGACTTTAACGCTTAGACGCTAAAGGTGTCTAGACAACTTAAACGTCTCTAACATTAAAGCGGCCAATCTCGCAGTAATTTCTCTAGTGAACATTGGAAAAAAGACGTCCTATCTCTTCGCGAGTTTAGTTCTTTTCTCAGTCAAGAAAATCCTGGGACTTGACTAGAAAAACCTCTATGAAGTCATGTAGATCTAGTAACTTACTATGTACATAGATTGTTGTTCGATTTAGAACTGTCGCCTTCGAGGCAACAACCAATCTCAAGATGTAACAACAGTCTGGTCGCCTCAACAGAACAGATTCATCAGTATACAATTTTACAAACGCCTTCAAACGGGAAGGAATTGAGCGTGTGAAGTGTGTAACTTTTCGATTTGGCTGTCCAGAGGTTTCTTTTGCGGGTTTATTCGTAAGGAGTACATGTAGAAACCCAAACAGCGAGTTGCGACAGCGTAGGAAAAAAGGAAGAGATGAACATTTCGTAAATAAGAGATAGCGCTATTCCAAGCTTTTCTGTCGAAAATTAAAACCAAAAATCAAGCAGCTACTCTCAAGTCCTTTAATCAATCAATATTTGTTCAGCTTCGAGAAGTTTCAAAAATGACATCAATAGCGACCTGGTGTCTCATAACTGCCTTAAGGAGGTACATGTAAGACTAGAGTGAAAATGTTAAAAAAATCCATATTTACTGACCTGCACCAGAGAAGACTTTCCTATCCCTGAGGGACCAACTAACAGCACTGGCTGACGGGTAGATACCATCAGGTCAACAAGGTAGAAGTAGCGGTCCAACTAACGATTAAAACAAACAAACAAACAATCAAACAAACAAAATTAAAATCAGACGAACTTAAATTTGAGAGCGCATAAAACTGCCTTACTTGTTACATGATTGTTTTGGCTTGAAGTTTATCGAAAAAAAAAAAGGGGCTTAAGTTGATCATTTTTGACAGCCATATATTTTTCCGTGATACCTTAAGGTTTTTACAAACATATTCCTCTTAATCCATAAAATATGCTTCTGGTTTAATATACTGACAGTGACTAAGTGACGTTACCTCAGTCACGACAGTGTAGGACGAAGGCAGTGTTTTTAACTGTGTGCCAGGTCTCTCCTCCCACTTCACCAGTCCACCTTTACTAAAGTCCAGGCAATAGTCATACACTGAGCCCTCAGGAGGGACTAGTACCGGGTAAGGACCAGCGGAGAGCAGCTGACGCGCATGCTCATCAAACTTCGCAGCGTATCTTAATCAAGAGAGGGAGATCAAAGTCAATTTTAGTGGACTTGAATATGGGAAGTGAATTTTGTCTCGTCTCAGCAGCAACCCCGATATTCGCGCCCTGTATTTGTCTGCTGCAGCTAAAGCTTCCTAGGCAAACGCATAGTAAACTCTTCTTTCATGTTGTGTCAAAGAGCAACTAACACGAAAATCTGAGATCAACGATTCAATGGTCGCACTAGAGATTTTCCTAGTCACGCAATTTAGGCTAAAGCTGTAGACGTCTTCTTGTTGAAATAACATAGAACATAGTAAATAAATTCCAAAGCCTTTGAGTACTTCCACAAATATTGCACAAACACAGAGANCTCAAGTTTACATAAACAAACTGCCCAGTTCTTCCAACTATTCCTTCGTGCTTGGATCACGCAATGTAAACAATTACGCGCGCTACTTGCAAATTGTCGATATCGAGTTTCATTTTTTTTTTTTTTAATGCAAGTTGCAAGTGTAGGAATCTTTTCACTTACCCTCTGTTGGTTATTTCCCATCTGGCATGTGCTCCTTTCAACCACGACCTAAAGATTGGCTTCCATCCCACAAGCGGTTCAGGACAGTGGATAAGGCCACAGCGAGTCACTAACGCCGGGGATACGTGAGTGAGGTCTGTCACTTCAAACAAGAGAGTCACAGTTTCTGAAAAACGAACAAAAAAACTGAAGTAGATAAGTGTTTAATAGAAACAAGCGCATAAGTGGCTGTAATTTGGAATTAAAACCGACAGTACACGGACATGAAGTGTGAGCAGTACCAAAACTTGTTTACGTTGTAGCCTTCATGAGGATGGACAAAAGTCGCCTAATATTTAGTACGCAAAAAATCGGTTTAACGAAAATGTCTTCAAAAATGTACCTTACCGATCGCAACACTGGCAGCAGTATTTTTAACCACACTAAGAAACAATCAACATTTTTCAGCTCATTGGAAAGCAGAGAAGATTTGAGTTATCTTTGTAACCATAAAGAAATGCTAAATATCCGAAAACAACAACGATGATGAAAAACGACAATGCTGACAGTAATCCTCGACTCTGTGACTAGGAAGCCTTCTGTTCGAGTAATGATATCACCTGGCTGAACAATAGACTCTCCATTAGGTAAACTGAGTGCTCTTGTGGAATCCAGCAGGGTTCCCATGTTTTCCAGCCACGTGTCATCCATCGGCCCATCAAGCACCAACCACTTCTTCACGTGAGACAGGGAACCCATCATCCGAGCGAAACGTTGCTTCTCAGAGGACTGGCTCGTGAGAAGTTCTGCCATGGTGTCACAGGTCAGCGTGGAGTCTCGCAGCCACTTGGACACCAGCCCGTCAACCCACAGATGGCTGTCAGGGTTCTGTCTTCCAAACAACTGTGCACACATGATAAAAAGCTTTTTTCAGGTGCCAAACGTCACAGTTTATTATTATTATTATAGTAGTCGATAACTCGGTTAATTAAAGGAGCTACGTCACGTTTTGCGAATCTTGAAAAGTGTAGCCTAGATTTGTCAGGTTCGTCATTTGTAATCCGTGTTAATCTTTTCCATCCTTAACCATCCTTGTTTCTTTATAGCTTATTATTATCTCTTTGGTGTTTTTCCATCTTAGTATGCTACTATTTTTCAGGCTTGCTTCAATTTAAAAAGTAATTTTGTACGTTGCCAAAATTGACTGGGTTCCCTTAACTGGGTGGTTGGACTACGAAGTGTTTTATCATTTACTTCCCAAAGAGTTTTTTTTACATGCTAGGCTGACTAAATTCCAAAGAGTCGACGAGACTTGGTGACATGGACAAAATCTCAGGATGGCCTTACCGCCGACACGCATGCGTGTTGTCGTCCCCTGTCGTCTAATTTGAACTTGTTAAAATTTTGGACAGGCATATGAGCCCAACTCTTTTGCACTCTCGAGTCATTTGATAGTTGACTGGTAATAGTGAATGGGAATTGAAGAGAGCTATCACCCAACCTACCGAGGATGAGTAGTCTAATCATTTGGCAGATATCAACGGAAAGCAGTCCCTCCAAAACTTACTAATTTAGGCATTTTTTTACGCCAAAACTAAAAACGCATTATCCTTTCAAGTCAAAAGTCAATGATAACCATAACTTGACATAACTACCAAAAGACCCACCTCTTCACAAGTTAATGATTTTGGAAACACGACTGACAGATCAACACGCGGCCAAAGCACTTCTTTGATATCTTCAACTGGCACTTTAGGAGCAGATCTGAGAGAGGTGCTTATTTTCCTGTCCTGTCTGCGGTGTTTTACAACTGGTTGACTTGTTTGACTATTCATGGCGTTGAGCACGCTTGCTAGCGTTGTGTATATGGTGGATTTGCCAGAGCCTGGGCACCCAATAAGGATCACGTTACGGCTTGTTTGTAGGCTAGTATGAAGCTGAAGGATCTAAAGATGGAAAAACCGCAAACAGTCAACCGAAAGACAAAATCTCACGTATTCACCAATATCAAAATAACCTTGCCCTTATCAGAAACTTGCGCAAACAAACATCTCTCTTTCATTTGGTGTGGCCGATTCTAACTTCGCTCGGAAGACGCTTGAGATTCTAGTTAAAACAAAGCTACATTGACGAGGGTTAGATTCGAGTAGCGCATTAGATTAGGATTAACTTAAAACATAAAAATTCAAACCAAACCAACAATTATTACCTTTTCATTTTTTTTTCCTTTTTTTCCGGAGGGGGGTGGTGAGAGTCCCCCTCCACACACCCCCGGGTGGTGGGACTATCAGATGTCACTTATAACTGATTGCTTCACTAAATACTATCTACCCATGCTCCTCTCAGAGTGGTGTAAAGGAGCTAAATACGAAGGATTTTACAGAGCTGTGACATTCACTTTGGTGATCAATTAATAATAGATTTTACCTTGGAGATGATTTCCTGTTTAACTTGTAATCCGTTGGCTTGAAGATGTTCTTTGACTTGCTCAACTAATTGCGAGTCCCCTTCAGTTGACACGGACATCAGAACACTGTGAGCGAACACCTGATCCACTACATTTGAAAACAACTCCTTATCCTCNAAAAGCTCCGTTTTCATGACGGATTAATGTGGACGGAAGGCCTAACAAAATAAAGCTGCGATTTAAAATTCCCCCAGCGCAGTGTGGACTGGGCCTTCATGGGGGAGCGGAGATGGCGCACGTGCCTCAAACTGATCAGTATGGTCCAGGCTCGTGTCCTGAACCTGTAGTCATACGAAGGTTGTGTTTGTTGTTGGTTCTCGCTATTTCAACATAGTTACGACAGACTTCACCCCCTGTAGGTTCACAGGGATTTATTCCTCTACAGCGTCAACTAATCTTTTAGACATTTCTCACTTGACGCTAATTATACGATGATGTATTTAGAAAATAACGTAGATAAAGGGCGTGCAATGATTGCCCAAAAAAGCCATGTTGTAATACTTAGATCACTAAAAAACTTCATACAACTTGTTGTTGCTGTTTGTTGTTGCTTTTTGTTGTTGTTGTTGTTTCTTATTTAAGTAGGCGTACTTATATACCCTTTTTGATTCACTACTCACCGCTGTGGAACTCACAGCATCGACAAATCAATCTATTAATCTATTAATCATTAATCTATTAATCATGTTTCTGTAACAATAACACAGAACATGTCTTCTGTACATGCACGTTAAGAAACCATAAAAGGAAACACCATGGTCTACCTTAGCCAAGTCTTTGATTGTCTCTGTTTTCCCAATACCATCAGGTCCCACAGGAACCCCACACTGGTAAGACCTCAGTGCCATGGTCAGAGTCAGAAAGCACCTCTGGGTTAAGGGTGTCACAACAAGACGAGGCGTGGGGCCAAGGTACTCATACCCGTATACGAAACTGGTACCAAGCTGGTGTACACTGCAGAGGCCCATATCATACAAGTGTTTAATGGGGATTACAGAAGGGCCAGGTGGGACCTCGCCTTCTCCTTGATAGTCAGATGTTATAACCTTCTTCATTTCCATGTGGTGTTGAAGCTGGCTTTTCCACTCAAAGCTATTCACATCTGAGATTCCATTGGTGATGAATTCTGCATACGATATATCAAAAATGTGAGAAGCAAAATTCAGTAGATTTTCACAGCTCTAATTCCCACCTCAATGTGTACACAGTAATCCCAGAGTTCCATTATAATTAACGCACTGGTGTGCGTCTTATACTGTGCGCACAAAGAAATGGACGCACAGTTCCGACTAGTTACGAAGCTGGGTCCGGAGGGCTTTACCCAAAAATCTCTGCTTTCACCATGGCGTATCTTTTGAGCCGCCACTTTGTCATTCGTTGGGTCATGTCTACACAAAAGAGTTGGTTCGATAATTTATTGTTCAGCCTTCAAACCCTGAAAAAAGGAAACGAAGAAAACTGAAAGTGATATGGAGCGGGTGATGATACCCAGGTGAAGAAACGCAAATTTTGTCCTAAATGGCTGGAGGTGTTTCACTGGTTAAAATATGATTCGACTAAAAAACGAATGAAGTGCGACGTTTGTCTCGATCGATGCGTATCTATGGCTGTAAACCTAAACCGTCGCAAAATTTTGTGTATGGAGCAAACAGTTTCCAGTGCTCAAGTCTAATACAACATTTTAGAATAGGCAAAGGACCCCCGAAAAAGCCAAAAAAAAAAAAAAAAGGCAACAACAACAACTCTTTAAAACTGTACCCTTAACTATCAAAACTAGTGGGAACGCTGAATCCAAGAAAAAGTTTGGCTAAAAGAGAATCCGGGTAACTAAGGGCTCCCACAGACTAGACTTAAGTTGTCGATAGCAAATCGTTATCGACAACTACATGTGAAGTTAGTGGAGGCCCTAGCTATCAATCACCTCAACCATTTCAGAACATACAGTATATCTTGGGAAAAAAAAAAAAACTCGCGCTTTTCCCTCCAACTACGTTTTCGAGATTCTGCTCCGAGTTTAATTTCAATACCTTAGCGCACAATGTTTTCATTTAGATTTTTGATAAAAGACGTCACGTTGATAGAGGTAAATTAACTGACATAGCGAATGTATGCAGTTCTCTGCCATCCTCCGATGCCCAGTCAAAATTAATTAATACTACAGTATAATCCTACACTAACCCGTGATAGTATCTCTTTGATGAATTGCCAGACCAACTAGGGAACATAACTGTAACTCAACACGNTGTTGATACCAAACAAAACAGGGATTGCCATTCACCCTGTGTCCAATTTACCACAACCAAACTGAAACAGGATTTGTTCCTCCCATGGCAGTTTTCGATGACAGTCAAAGATTGTCATTACTGTAACACAATGCCACTCACAAAAAAACACTGAGAGCTTAACCTTCTCAAGATACGGATGATTTCGCTAATTAAACAACAAATAAAACTAGGTTCTCACCAAGAGTGGTCATAAGTTCCAATAGTTTACTAGGACTCTCTCTCCCATGAAGCCTTCTTTCCACACATTCAGCGAGACACTGCACTAGAGTATTCCTCATTTTCTCTTCTAACGTGACGAGCCAGTTTTGTGGTCGAGGTGATGCAGGGATCACAGACAATAGAGGAACTACTTCTTCTAACAAGCCCTCAATGGCAGTTACTTGTAGAAGATGGGCTGGAGGAGAAAAGGCATTGTAAATTGACATTGTTCAAAGCATGGGAGTCCAATAGCTACAGTACTTAAGGGCTCGATTTCGACTAGAGGTGAATCCTAAGCCCTAGTACGCAAACGTCGGTGGCTGTCCCTGTGTAGACTCCTTGATTTAATATGGCCTCCTTCGCTTGCAGTTGGCTGAATCAGTGATCACTTTGATATTTGTTACTACACTCTAATCTTGGTATTCATATGCCACAGACCTTTGCAAATGTACAACATTGAAAACGGTAACTAGGGAGTCAGGGAATCATTCCTTGATGAATTTGAAGCATGAGCAGTTCAAAGGGGGCATAAAAATGTAAGACAAATATCTTTAACAACTTGTACCACACTGCACAAATATGCTGACAAGAAAAAGCTCCGGTAAAAGCGAAAGGGACCTAAAGATTCGTCAAGTAAGTCTTTCCACGACAATGACTTGCTTCTTTCAAACGCACATCAAAGTGCTAATCAGGCTGCTGTTTAGCACGAACATTGCTACTTTGATTTGAACCAGTGCAATTTGATAGTCCCGATAAAACCTTTCTTAGTAACACTGATAACAACACTTGAAGCCTAACACAATGTAAATATGTTTACCATTGAGTGCTGTATCCAGTGAAGAAGCCAACCTCAAATTACCATCCCTTGGTAAGGCAAACTGAAGGTTCTTTATCCCAGGAAAGCACTTTCTAACAAAGGGCAGCAAATCTTTGGGATTACGAGACCAAGCAAGTAGACTGAGGAGATCATTGTCGCTGAGAAAGAAGAGACGTGGAAACGCCACACGGGTCTTCTCAATGTATTCTTCAACCGTTCTGATCAACTCCTCCTGCAACCAAACAGAAAATGTAAATTATTACACTACTGTACGCTTATCAAGTACATGTACACTACTGTCATAAGAGTGAAACGGCTGAGTGGGCAAAACGAAGTATTTCCAGCCTTAAGCGTAATGCTATTTGTATTAGCTTTGATTTTGCAATAAAGGTCAGGCAGCGGCAGTCAGCTTGACATGGCCACCAGTCAGAGTGGTGTGTGAGAATTACTGATAAGTGCACAAATCATGATTTACCTCCTTTCTAATCAACTCCAACAACCGTTCCCTGAGGGAGACACCTTGTAGATCACGCCAACCTTTCTCTCCTCTTTTCTTTAATGGCAGCACAGACAGGACTTTGGGATCCCTGAGAATCACTTGAACAAATTCCTAAGTGACAACCGGAAAAGAAAACCTAGCTTACATGTAACTTCACAAGGAATTATATACCATGAAAAAACGAACCTTGTTCTTAATCTAATGGTATTATTGTATTGGCAATCGCACGAACACGACGAACGAACACGAACAAAACGTAAGCCTTGATTTTAAATTGATCCAACATTTCAACTCATTGTCATTCAACTCAGTCTTCAAATAGTTTCTGACCGGACATTATCATTTATCAACTTGACATTTTTATTCAGACTAAGACCAAAACCCCAACTCCATTTTCACTTTCCCAAGGGAATAGTGTACTCACCCCCAGCAACTGGACCCGGGTTTTTCCTGTCCTGGTACAGGCCCTGGTAGAATCAGTTGTAGTACAAGAACCTGGCACCCTCTTTGTTAAGCCCTTTACTTCAGATCCAGATTAAAAATACTGTACAGACATATTAGCTATCTGTTATATCGTGGATTAACTTACCCTGTATTTTTCATCAACATCAGTGAACCTTTGAGTGCTGTCCCCCAAGGACGTCCTTAATTCTGGCTCAGCAAAAACGTTACCGAGATAGAGCCACTAAAATGGTGAACAAAGATAAAAACAACATTTACGTTTAACTTTGCAATTGATTGAAAGTATAACGGTATGTAGTTATTTGTTTCACCCATACTTTATAATCTTTTCACAGCATTCAACATTGATTTTATCCATAACCAATAAATATTGCTACACAACACGCCTTTGCTATTATAAGATCTCCATGCTTTACCATCTTTTCACTGCATTCAACATTGATTTTCATCCATAACTAAAAAATAGTGTTACACAACACACCTTTGCTACTACAAGATCTCCATGCTTTACATCTTTTCACTGCATTCAACATAGATTTTTATCCATAACTAATAAATACTGTTATACAGCACGCCTTTGCTACTATAAGATGTCTGTCGACCATCACTAGAACTGAACTCTTTGCCAATACCTTTTTCTGGCAGTCTGCCCAGATGTCAGTGATGTTTTCTACTTCCTGTAAATTAGTTATCCAAGTCTCCACCAATGGTTTCAAATCTGCTACATGAGGTGACGTCAACATGACGTTCAAGGTGACCAGATTGTCCTGAAAAATAACATTACTTTGGGGATCAGTGATGGCACAGTGAAGAGTGGTCGCCTCCCACCAATGTGGCCGAGTTCGATTCCGACTCGGTATCCTACGTGGGTTGAGTTTGTTCTTGGTTCTCCCCTTGTACAGACAGTTTTTCTCCGGGTTCTCTGGTTTTCCTTCCTCCGGATAAACCAACACTTCAAATTCCAAATCGACCAGCTAAGCTGATGTTGCTTCCTCTCTAAATATTGTCATTTGTTTAATATATTTAGTTAACTTGATTATCTTCTTGATTTGATATCCAGGATCAGAATGTTAAAAGCATGACCAAGCCAATCAGCATTAGCATGAATTTTGAATACGGTTTACATGTTTATGCATAACTTTTCAGAAAGGTTATCTGCTTATGTTCAATTTCTGTCTTCCATTTTTGACGTTGACTTTTAAGCTCCACAAAACATTTGACATGAAACGCACTCAAAAAACATACAAAAGAAATGAGAGCCTTGAATATGTTTTAATCCCGCAAAAGTACCTATTGGTTGATAGCTTAGAACAACAAACACAGGATAACTTTTCACATGCAGTTACTGCAGACATACAAGCAACTGCGAGTGCAAGTGTGAGTGTGTTTCCAGTTTTGTTTTGGGGCATGTTAATGAGCATATTAATTAGGGAAAACAGCATCCCCTTGTTAAATTACCAAACCATACTCCAGCCTAGATAGATCTGTAAATATTTAATGGAGCAAAAGGTGGATTAAATGACCTACTCACTGAACAAAAACTAAGAAATTAAACCTTTTTATAGCATGGAGCACAAATAGATAGAAAACACACCACAAAATGAGCATAATGTTTTAGTTGGTATTGGGGCGAAAATATGCTCGGACATTTGTCCGCGGACATTATCTGTTCCGAGAAGCGAACAGTTTTCCGAGAGCGTAGCTCAAGGAAAACTGTGAGCTTTGAGAAACAGATAACTTCCGAAGAAAAATATCTGAGCTTATTTTTGCCCCAAGTGGAAGCTATTGTGTTTATTATCCTTCAAATATTTTTTACAACATGCACGGTTTTGAAAATTGGGGAATGTATCACTCGTACATTCCTAAGTTTTAGCTGGCGCATATTCAGTCGTGTGACGCATTTGAACCAATCGCGTGCGAACGAAAATATTTAATTGATTAAAATCAGGAGTATTTTCTGGAGTGTTTAATTACAATGTACAATTTAAGTAATTTGTACCTCAATGATGCACTTCAGTTCACCCACACCGATGAGAATGAACATGTCAGGTACCGAGGCTGGAGTCTTTGGTTTTGCCTTCAGATTTGCCTTCTGTTCAATTGTAACACAAAATACTAAATGTTACACAAAGGGTAAAGAAATCGTGTGATAAATGAACTTAATACTTTACAGCAAGTTGAACAGGAGGAAAACAACATTATTTAAAACGGTCAAGTAGTACGTAAGATGTGCTCCTTTGTCAATTGTAAGGCTTCTTCTCTAATTAATAGTGGTTCAGATACTGCTGTCCAAGGGCATTGCAACCCTGGGCATTCTGGGCATAAATAAGCCTTCACCCTCGCGTCCCAAACTAGAATGGGTCAAAAAGAACTCCTGGAGTCATAGTAGGATTACACTGTACCTAAGTGTGATCTTATTATCTAGTAACCAAGAGTTGGTTTTGAAAGCAAGATCATAAATGATCATGAATTGTGGTGGACAGAGGTCCCTTTACCAGTGTGTTACAAACTTTAAGCTACGATAAATGTTTTCTACAAAACACTTGAGGAAGAACACTGACACTACCAGAAACATGAAATAACTTAAGCTGTGCCAGATCACATTAAACTACCTCAGCCCCTGCCTGTCTGTTTTTCCCTTTTCCTTTTGCACTTTTTATCCTCTCACCACCCAGTCTTGGTCTCATCAGTGGAATGTGTTTGGCAAGTTTGAAGTCTTTCTCCTGCCATGCCCAAGCCAGGCGGTTAAGCTCAAGTTCCAAGGCATATTCAGCTGCAGCCCCAGCACAGATGGATGCTATCAGATCCTTGTACCGACCAAGATTGAATGAAAGAAGATCTGCAACTGTGAATTCCCAGGAAGGGTCGTAGTCTTGGCCCATCCCTATAAACAGAGCCCTCCAGTGCCGTGGCTGTTGAAAGACAATTTGCAGCAGAAAAAGTGAGTGTTCAATTGTTTGATTGCCTTACAACAGATAATATGAAAGGCATTTAAGAAGTCCTATCAAAGTAAATTGGTCAAAAGGAAAGAAATAGAAAACACAAATAAATAAATCTATTCCCCTGATCAAAGCAGGTTGTTGGCACAAGGACTTCCTGATGTGGACTTATTAACAAATCGGTTATTGGCAGCAACAGGGACTTACACCTCTGAGCCAAGTTACAACCCTGCTGCTCTGACAACTAGTAGGGAACACTACCTCTTTAACTGACATTACCTGTACACACTGCAGCTTCAAATTTCATACCAAGCTACACCGTCATAAAGTGTAGCAACAACATACAGTACATAGACTTTACCTTAAGAGCGTCACTGGAGAGTTGGAGTAGGAACGGTAAGTCTTGTGAAAACTCTTCCAGTTGAGACAGCCAGGAATGCAGCACTTCATCATTTTCAGGAATATGATGTCTGAGTTTGTTTCCAACATTGTTCCATTCTGTAAGTTTGTCCATTGCTTTCTTGACATTCATCTGTACATTATAAAAACACAATATCCTAAAGTATCATAAAGAGTGAGCCTTAGAAGGGTAAAAATGCCAGCCTACATACAAGTACCACCAGGAGAATACACTGGCCAGGCAATGCCATTCGCAATAATAGCACAACCCACATGTACACGTAATTGACTTTAAATTTTGTTTAATTCTAAATGCACAGGTCTATCCCTTGATCTCAGGGAGGCCAAACTTTCATAACACATACATGTACTACCCAAACTGTTGCTGTGTTGTTGCCGCATGTTTGCTTTACAACAGGCTATTAAAATCTCCCGAGAACTTCAAGTAGTTGTACTTACAGTTTTTTAAAGCTCTTGCAAGAGCTCTCGCAAGACAAGTGTCTCATCTTGTGATTCGAGAGTGTCGTCTCTCGATACGAGATTTTTGTCTCTCGATACAGAGTCTCATCTCCCAAGACAAGATGCTCGTCTCAAGAGAAGGTGGTAACTTACTTTTGAGCGGCACTGAACTATATGCCATGTATGTTAGAATTTGAATTCAAAACTTACATACCTTTTTAAAGACTGTCTGCAGCCACTCCCGAATAGTATGTGATGACACATCACAATACTTCCACAGCTCTTGCCTCTTGTCGATGGCACGAAGGATGTCAGTGACATGTTGCAAGTCATACTGGTTCCCCAGTATGATAGCCTGGCATTCACTGAGCTCTGACAGCTTGGAGCGAATGTTGATAAATTTCTCCCTAAGCTGTCAAGATAAGACCAGGGTTCCAGATATTTTAAAGGTTTTCTCATAGCAAATGATGATGATGGTTAAAATTACAATCATGTTGTCTTCTTGGTGTTGTGTTTGGTCATTTTCTGGCTAAAGGTATGCAAGCATGCCACAGCCCAGGTTGAAATCCTTGTGATGATGTGATGGGTGATGGGTAACTAATCTTGTAGTCTGAAGTTTTGAAAACGCTTCTGACTAGAAATTACCATTTATCAAGCTGACATTTTCATTCAGATTCACAAGACTATTGCAGACTACTTTTTTTTTTTTGGATGATCTCACCTCTCTCATAGATTGGAGGATGGTTGATGGATTCTCATTTGGATCTAGAAATTGTCCTGATGTAGCTGTGTTGCCAATTTCTTCTGCAGATTGTTCCAAAGTCTGTTGGCAAATGGGCATTTTCAGATGTTAACAATTAATAATTATCTCCTCAGAGCTTTATTATCTAGCTCTCTGCACGCACTGCAGGCCTATGATGAGGGAGCATCATAGGCCTGCAGTACGTGCAGAGAGCTAGATAATAAAGCTGCGAGGAGATAATTATTGTGCTTCATACAATGAAAAGGCCTTCAACTGCCTCACTTAGAACAATTTCACAAAAGGTTTAACATGTGGATGACAGAGCAGTTTTCAACTGAATGTTGAATGTGATTTGATGCTTCGATTATTCATTAGGGACTTAAGTGCGCTACACAATTAGCATCGCACAAAATTGCGCCCCTTTGTTATTAATTCCATTCAGAAATAGATTCAAAACCAATTATGACTCACTCACCCACTTTGCTTTGAGTTTTGATTGGTTAATTGGATTGCCTGAATGTGTCCTTTGTGATTGGCAGAGTCATCACTTTCAATTGGTTTTGGTTTTATGATGCTCAGTTGAAAACCGCTGACTAATACAATGATCATAGTAGACATCGCTTTGCAGTGCTTGTGGTGTTTGATAGTGATTCAGACACAAATACTCACGCTGATTGTCTCCAGCAATTTCTCAGTGACTACTGGTTTGTGGACTTCCACGAAGTCTGATGCTTCCTGAAGACCAAACAAGAAACCTTCCCAGGTTGCCCACACCTAAAAATATAAACAATCAATGTAAATTCACCCACTCAATCAATCCCAACTATGTCATTTTGCCTTCACTACATAACCGAAAACAATCAAATGTTGAGGCACACACTGCACTGTAGGTGCATTGGTCAGCCAGGCTCAAGATATACTTTTTGAATTGAGATAATGAGCATACAACAAAGTGGATGAGAGATGCGTCAAATACATGTAACATCCTACATGCACCAAAGCCAGACATGTAAACCCCAAAAACCTCTTATTAGGAAAAATAGCAACTGATACCCCTGACCAAATGCAGTGCTGGCACCTTTGGGGTTTTAAGGTTGACATACAAACAACAGAATGAAAGATAAATCAGATAACATTATTTACACAATAAAAATAAACCTTATGCGTAAGGCAAGGCTGACCGCAGAATGTTGCAAGTCTCTCAACTGTCTCTTTTTACAAATGTACCAAACATGAGCCTTTACTTGTACTATCCTCAAACCCAGTTCTCTGTTCCGTGTCGGCAAAATATTCATTTGTGTCAATACCGATTATCACAAATTACATAACCTCACTTAGGAGCTTAGGGTGTTGCCTACTCCTCCCTTACTGGAAAAAAATTATCTGCTACCCCCCCCCCTCCCTTCCAACTCTGCATCTGCCACTGATTATAGTGACCTTCAGCAACTGCATCACTAAATGGAGGTTGGGTGCCTGAGACATCCAGGAGCTTCCGCTATTGGCAGCCAGCTCCTAGATGGAGACTGCTCCTATGGCTGTGAAGGCTGCCAACCTGTCTCTGTCCAGGAGCACATGGACTCCAGGTGCAAGCACATGCATGTATCAAGACACTGCTGTCAACTACAGGAACATAGGCGCACTTTGTTGTTAACTCCGTTAAATTGCATTTAACTGCATAATTATAATCTAACATATATGTTCATGATTTGTATGTTAATGACAATGTGTGCAAGTACAGTAGGTAAGATAATTATGCAGCTAGATTCTAGCTGCAAAATTAAAATCATCTACCTTTTCCTCTGTCATTTCCTCTTCAGGAGTGAGTTGTCTGTAGCAGCTTCTTATCACCTGAAGAAGAAAAAGTAACACACAGCTTTAGGGAAGTCAACACCTCGTGCAACAGCTAAAACTAACAGGTACAGACAAAACAGTACTACAACAAAGAACTTGTACATAAACGTCAGAAAAAATGGCAAATAATTATTATTTACAGCAGCTAGAATATACATTTCACCTCATAAAGATTCTTTATGTACTCCACTTTCTCTTTCAAGCTTGGCACATGCTCTTTGACCCTTGACAGCCTTTGCATGAAATCAGCAAAACCCTTGATGTCTGTCTTCTGGTCTTTCAGAAGCTGAAGGATAACAAGAAAATACAAACTGCATTTATGCAAGTGAATGACATCAAAGTTTAGGATTTTAAATTTAACGTGAAGACTTAATTTCAGTTCTGTGTCGAGGGACCATGGGAAATGATAACCAACAGGGAATTTTTGAGTCAAAAGTTTGTCCTCTGGTTGGATACAACACTCAGGGTTCCAGGTAAGTTTTAAAGGTTGGTGCCAATACGGAATTCTAACAGGTCAATTTCCAGTGTTCCCACCAAATCACTATAATTTTTCTACTTATTTATCGGGTCGTGTAGCTGATCTTGTCTGGTTTTTGACCCGAGACTCCTCACTTATCTGGAACACTGAACACTGCCAATGGTCATCCAACTAGGTGGTCATGGTTCACCCAGAGCTTTTTGAAGATACATTGTACTGCAATGTATGCAAAGATGATTCAAAGATTCCCAAGTATTACCCAAACACTTTTGAATATTCCAAAACATCCCCAAGAAAACTCAAAGATTACCAAAGAATGCCTTGAGATTATTTTCAAAAGAGCTTGTGAGAACAAAAGGGTTTGTGAATACTCTAATTTAGACATTTTCAAAGATATTAATTTTGGAAGACCAAGAGTGATTAGAGCACTACATGTTACCATTAGTAATCAATGTATACACAGCCAAAAGCTGCAATTCATATTTTAGACAATCACATGATTACTCTCATACAACAAATGAATAAGCACTGTCTAGTAAATTTACAAGTCAAAGACTGCAAAGTGCACTCACCCTTTGGTCACAGGTCATGTACAAAACGTTGACTTCCATGTTTTCACGTCAATCAACTTTAATTATTTATAAATCAGGGGCCCATATTTTCTGGAAGAAAAACAGGGGGTCCAGAAAAGGGGTCCAGATACTAGTCCAGATAGGGGTCCAAAACAAGGTCCAGAAAGAGGTCCAGCAGGGGAGATCCAGGTTTTGTCCTGAACACTGAAGGCTGATGCAATTTTGTTTAACTTTTGACAAATTTACTCAGCATGCTTATTGTTTTTCTAGGTTGCTTTCAAAATCATGTGATTACTTAAATTACCTGTCCGATAAATTAACAATACATTACAATCATGTACCTCAGATAACTGCTCCACATCTTTGACCTCCTCGTCAGAAAGTCGAATGACATCTAACACCACCATCTGCACTAGCTGTTTAAAGATGTTGTTCAATTTTGGAAGGATCCAATGTTGAACCTCATGACAGTCAACAAAGAATATCCCATTCTCTGTACAGAAACTCTTTGTGATACTGGACACCTGCTCTCTCCAAGTCCTAATCTGATTTAGTTGTTGCTGTAATGTTACAAACAAATGTTTTTTGTTACGGCTGGCTTTTATTCGCTTTTCCACTCGCCTGTCAGAACGTGTCCCACAGCAGATCTTGTTTTTCCAAACTACCACTCAGGTTTCTATATCTCTATAAAAACTTGGTGCACATTTTTTATTTCTTAAGGTTATTTCAAACCTTCGCGGGTGTACTCCAGAAAAAAATTCGTATGCGCACTGTTTTCAAGGAAACCCCCACAAACTATAATTATATCAACAGAAAGGTTATAAAATGTGGAATTCAATAAAATTATGTTTTGTTTTGGATTTTGCTTTTCAAAGGCGGCAAAGGGCATCAACTCCAAAACGACCGACTGACGTTCCAGCGAATTAATCAGGTATCAAATGCGATCGTTCATAAAAAATACAGTATGCAAACTTAAGCTTCGCGGATTTTAATTTTCTTGACCAAAAAAATATTGACCAACGTAGCCCCGCGAAGGTTTAAAGTAACCTTAAGTGCTCGTGATTTTGTCACATATTTTCTTATAATGATCAACCCTAATTAAAGGTGTCAATTGCATGTAAGAAGTACTTGTTTGTACCTTATGTATATTATGCAACATTGTTCAAGTTCATTAAAAATATTATATACACGTACCTCAATTTTTTGTGTTGGTTGACCTCTCCAGGCATGCATTTCTCCACTGCCCCAAGAGGAAATAAATGCCTGAATATTAGCCACCCAACTGTACTCTTCACAAAACTCTTCCACTTCTTTAGCAGCTTCTGAAAGCAAATTTTCCTGCCGCTTGATAGCTCCTTTTATCTGCTTACTGTAAACCAAAAAAGCAAAACATCAGTGAAAAACTTTAAGGCAGGGGTTTCATTACATGTAACATTTTCAGCAGGAGAGCAACTGATACTTTCACAGGTGGGCAAAACTTTTCGAACTGAACTATATAAGAAAAACTTTCCTCTAGATGGTCAAGCCAAAAGGGCAAAATCATCATCAGAGCCAGTCAATTTGCCCGGTACCTGGCCCTATATGAACCTCTGTTAAGAGCATTTGGATTCTACAATATAAGCCAAGCATGATGTACACATGGATGATGGCTATAATTTATTTACATGTATGCTGTTATTTGCAATTTTAAATAAAGTTAATTCCAGGCAACCATCTTCCATACTGCACAATGCAGTTGTTAAAGGATAATTGAAGACATCTATATATACAGTTAAAGTGCCTATGAAGTAAGAAATAATTGCTGCTTATTTGAAAGGCTTTTCAAAGTAAAGAAGAATGCCATTTTCCTTGCTGGAATACCTTTTTTTAGTTTTAACAGATATTTTTACATTTTTGTATTGTGCAATTGACGAAAGTGATGACGTCATAGGTGGTTCCACTTAATCAGTACAACACTCAATCAAGAATATCTCTAGAAATATTACAGCAGTGTTCATTAAACTTGGCACCAGAACTGTTCATAGATGATTGTGTCGATGTCAATGCCAGGGCACGCATGACATGTAAACCATGCCTTGTGTGATGCACAGAACATGTACGCACTAACAAAAGTGAGCACTGTCTTTAACACAACGTACTTCTTGTGCATGATATTCATCAGTTTCTCCTTGGTCAGCGGACTCCTGTCAATTGTAAAATCCTGGAAACGCTGTCCTTCCACCATCAAGCCCCCATCACGCTCTTGCCGAAAACACAAGTCCAGAGTGGCCTGCCTTGTCATGTCTCTTCCACTCATTAGTTCAGAATCCAAACCACCCAAGTCTTCATTTATCTCATCATCTGTACGTGTTACCGTACTAGAACCCGGGCTAGAGTCTGATTTTTCTCCACGTGGTGTCTGCACAAAGAATGAAAGTACATACATGTCCATGTACGTGTAAGATGGGGTTAATATTTCAAACAGTTAATGAGACATTAAAAGCTTATTAAAGTTTATGAACTACAGAATACAACCCTACATGTACAGTGTAGGTGGCTTAAACCATATACATGTAATAATAATAATAAAACAGTCTACATACACATGTACACACATTTATCATGTCTTAATTTCAATCAACACATAGTTATGAAGCCACTAAGTATCACAAATCTTCTTGGATCAGAAGCTAGGTACATGTACACGTTAGTCCATCGCAGAACAAAACACCCTGTACATGTACTTTGGTCAATTTTTCCTGACAATGTTGCCAGTACCTATCTACATAGTTGTAGGGTGAGATAGGTTTTATGACAGTTTAGAATGCTATCAACAGGTATGCCATAAGGTACTCATGGATAAGAAAGTCCCTATAATTTTAGCTAACCATAAGAGGCTGTCTAAATTTCATCAAGCAGAAATAATACAATCATTTCAAAATGAAGACAGTGAGATAGGATCACATTCCTCTATTTGCAATCATCTATGTTTTAGTGGCTTGTAACCCAACTTACAGTACAAGTGCAGTATTGTTTTGTAAGTGCAAAGTTCATGCAGTACAGGTGTAAATTATGAGGGTAAATTACATGTAAAACCAGAAAGTTGATTGTAACATGCACTGTCATGTAATCCCACCTCTTTAACTCAAGTCTACAAGTAATACCGTTCTTACCATAGGTGCCGCACTCAACACGTGATGCTGTCTCCTGGTAACCAATATTTCAGAGTGTTTCCCAGTACCATATATAAACCTCTCAATATCACCAACCGCTTTTTTCTCTTTGTTGTAATCACTTTGGAGTGCAAAATCACTTAACTTCTCATCACTTGCTTTCTCATCCACTTCATCTGCTGTTTTCTCCTGGAACTGTTGCGCTTTGCTTCCCAGTTCCATGGCATGTGAAAGATTACAGCTAGCACTAATGACATTTCCCACGGCGATGCCAACAGCATGAGCAAACTGCTTGATGGACGGTGATAGGGTAAGCTTGTGATCATCTCCGAAGACGATATCAGCCGAGAAAAGTCCATCTCTCTCAGGTCGCGGGCCAGGCATCATTTCATCCACAAACCTGGAAATGTTCCCCTGAACTAATGTCAAGAGATTTGAGACAATAATGTGATCGACCAGACGTACAAAGGTACCAAGTCTTTTGACTTCATCTCGAGCAAGCTTCAGATTACGTTGCCTAATCGCCCTCTTCTTCTTAGCAACTGCCAAGGATTCTTGGTAGTTATGACGATGGTTCTTCACCTGCCCTTCACAGTATTCCAGATACTCAAAGCAACTCTCTTGTGTTTTGTCAACAATCATCTGGCAGTAGTTGAAAAACTTCTCCATGTATCTGTAGCCTGTGTCACAAGTTCTAAAAATGATGTCCTCAAACTCCTCCAGGGTGTAAGAGAAACTGACATCAAATGGGAGGAATGTTACCTTTTGCAGGTCTTGAAGAAGGTTTGAAATCCGAAGTAAAGCAGATCCAAAACTGGGAACATTTGAAATGAGAGATTTCTCGATCTCTGCCTCCACCTTAAGAAACTGACTGAATTTCTTTATGTCCTTCCACTTCCTGAACATTTTGGCCACAAGAAAGTTCTTGTAAAAGCCAATGTTTGATATTGCTTTGAACAAGCACGCTTCCCTGTACCATTCTGCCAGTGACTGCGACTCTGATGGACCATTGGGATTCACGTGCAAAATGCAATGTGATGAAATCACATAATGTTCAGGATTCACCTTTTCCTCAGGTACAACCACAAGGTTATATGGATCATAGCGTACTGAGGGTACAACATTCAGGAATGCAAACTTTACTTCACCTAAGAAACGTCCCTTCACAAAACTTTCCACTACCTCTCTGCCAGTCTTTGGCAAGATCCCCTTCTTTGTCTCACTGTGTTGGGCACTCTTGCCTGGCTCTGACACTGGTACAGTTCTAATGATAGGCAGACTCGGTGACCTTCTTGGAGTAGTTGGTGGAGTTGGCACCCTTGTTTGTGGCAGATCAATGTCAAGGGCTAATACAGTTGTCCCCAGGGAACCACCTAAAGTTGCTTCCCTGATAGCTATCTCCCGCACTACTCCAGGAAGAGACCGTTTAAGGTCTTCCAGACACAATGGCCTAGGCCCATAGCTCTTTACATCTCCATCTGAATGATCAAAGATGAACGTGTTCCCCCAAGGAAATATGTGCTCCCCACGGGGGACTTTCACCCCCTTAGACAATGGAGAGTGACGGCCCCTTGGGGTGAAAAGGCTTTCTGTTGAAGATTCAGGCGGAAATGGAATATTGAGTGGTCTTTTACCCTCGTGTAAGAGAGAAAATTCGGCAGGAAAGACAGACTGCAATTTCTCTTCCACAAAACTGAATTGATTATCTCCCTCTTTGATTTTTAGGCAAGCACGTTCAACATAATGACTTATTTCTGGAGCTCCAGTCAGAAAGTGCGCATATGGCTTAACAATCTCCAGCACGTCACTGAGATGACACCAAGACTGCTTCGTATTCTGTTGCAATGCACTAACAAAACTCCGTGAAACCTGTTGAAGCAAAATCCGTACATCGTCATTTTCTAATTCGCCGTTGCTTTTAAGCCGAGACAAAGTAGGCCTCTCTGGATCTTTAGCATCGTTCAAAACTTCAGAAGTCGTGACTACAGGTTGCGAGACCAAGTTTCTTGACTCACTGATGGCTGGAAGTTTCGGCTGCGAAAAGGCTACTTCAGCAGGTTGATTTGACATTTTGCAAAGTTCTCCACGTAATGTTTATCATTTTCTTCTATTAGCAATTTTCCAGTATTTTTTTCTTTCCTTCAAATAACAGACGCAGCTCAAATTCAGCGATTTCCATTTGCTCTAGTCTAAAAAGAGTCAAGGAATTTCGCGAAGGTTCATCCAAAGTCCGCCATATTTGTGTACTTTTCGCGCTAGCAACTGTTTAAAATTCCCAGCATTCATGGCAGTCGTTACCATGTACAGTCGGAACAGACGCTCAGCGGACTTGCACATGAGAAGCAGCAATCTTGGAAATTTCGAAACTTGTTTCACTGGGTGTGAAGTAAATAGCTATGAGTTTTGCAGAGTACAAAGAACGGATTTCTGAGGGTGATACTGTTATCCTTTCCTTAGTAAGTATAAGTCATTTTAATAGCCATCTACCGTTAATCGCAAGATGTAACATTCTGTAACACTGTGTCTTCGATTTTTGAACACGTGCAACATCATGTATACATGCAGATACATACTTGTACATAAGCTTTCATGGTTTATTTGATAAATTAGGTTGAGGAATTGGCAAGACGTTAAGTCCTGATGTGGACCTGCTCTATATAAAATAACTAATTAATAAAGACCTAGACAATAAATTGAAAATGGGTAAATAAATAATGATAACTGACATAAATACATATGAATAATGATGATTCTTGTTGTAATCCTCTCGATTGTAATTGGTCTCTGAGCGTTTGTTGCTAGATTATTAGGGGAAATGTGTTGATCATAAATTTACTATGCTTCACTCCCAAATATTCTCATTGAATCCCTTGAAGGCACCAGAAATACTTAGTCAGCCCCTCCACTACTGCATGTAGGATTGATTACTTTACTGAAGTCCTGGTAACTTTACGGACCCGAAGCCATCATATTGAGGCCCTCTTAGGGGTTTTCAAAACATGGGATATTTATGTTTAAAAATAATGACAAAGCGATACTGGATATATGGTGGAGAAAAGTAATGGGATATAGTATCTTTAGATCATATAAAATGGTATATCGAGTAGGAAAATAATTTTTGCAATTAGAGTTAGTGGTATACAGTCAGAGTGTACAGGATATTTAGGCCAAAAATTAAACAAGATACGGGATACTCCAAATCTCCTTCCCCCCCGTACCTAATTCATGGGCCCTCCCATGAAGGAGGAATGGTGCTGCTAGTCTCAACTCAATTTCATTTCCTGATATTTTTGTTGTTTGAATTTTAAAACTATTAATATCTTGATCTTGAATGTGCACACGGCAAACAAAAAACAGCTTGTTTTTAGGCCCAGTAACTGTCAGTACTTTTGAGAAAGAGACCCCAGGCTTCCTGCCTTTTGTGGCACCTTTGCATGGGTTGCAGTGTAGACTAAAATAAAGGTAATCCACTAACAATGGGAGCAGGGGTGGAAGGATGGACCAGGAGATGTGGTTGGGACTCTTCATTCATAAAGTGATGCTGTGTATCTTTTATTTCTTCAGGGTCATAATTCCATGCAAGCTCTAACAGTTACACCAGGCAAGGTTCATCAGACAAAACATGGTGCATTGCCACATGCTGATATGATTGGAAGAAGATTTGGAACAAAGGTAATTAACACTTACCATCAACATTTTTTTTAAGGATACTCAAGCTATGAACACTCAATATTTTTATTTTACTTTCTCTTTCTTTTTTATGACTATAGCATATTAGGGCTCTTCATATGATGTTAAGGATTTGTCATTTTTATAATGTAAAAAAACTAATCCGTCACATTATGTGAGGATCAGACCTCATTCTAGGTGTTTACTGTAAAACAGTCACTAAAAAATCACAAACTAAAGTGTTCTTGGTTTAAGTGTCCTAACAGTAAATCAATTTTGAAAGTACAAAATCCTAAATGACAATTCATAAAATAATTTTAAAATAATCTTTGGACCATCGATATCTCATCCATTCTCCACCCACTGCACTTCCGTATTACACAAACATAAGGTTGATTGCAAATTCTTCATCCATAGATCTATCTGTACAAACTTCATGCCACAGTATTTTCTTTTTAACATTAATTTTTTTTTCTGACCTTTTTACCCCATCACACAACTTTCCTTTTTACAGCTTAAACATTGAACTCGACTTTCTAAACTATTGGTTTGTTTATATTATTTTATGTAAATAATTTCAGCTTATAAGCCTGAGATCTGTTTTTCAGATGTACACACTAAACAGAAAAGGCTGGTTATACCTCCTTCACCCCACCCCTGAGCTATGGACAGTTAACTTACCTCACAGAACGCAGATTCTGTACTCCACAGATATCAGCATGATCATTCTACAGTTGGGTATCAAACCTGGATCTGTTGTTGTAGAGTCAGGTATGAAAAGCGTTGGAACTTAATGCAGTTTAATGGTTTGTATCTATTGTCAGGGCCGTAGCTAGTAACAGGCAAACCAAGGTACTTACCTCAGTCATTTTTTTGTTTTTTGTTTTGTTTTTTTTTCGTTTTTGTTGTTTAAAGTCATCAAAAAAACCGTAAATTCCCAGGAGAAGAATTAAACCATGGACATTGCCTCAGTCACAACTCATTTCATTCCTCAGTTATACTTTGTTTCTGGCTATGGCCCTGATTGTGATTAGTGAATTTAAAAATATGGATTTTTTTTTGTTATTTTTTTTTCTTATCGTTTCTTAAGGGACTGGAAGTGGCTCCATGTCGCATTGTTTAATACGAACCATTGCTCCATCTGGCCATCTTCACACATTTGAATTCCATTCAGAACGAGCTGAAACAGCAAGGTGAGAAGCTCTTGTAATCAATAGATTATGCTGGGTATTGTACAAAAAGTGAAGCCTTCTAAGTGCAACTGGCTCATACTGTACATGTACTAGCTCTTTGTGCTTAACTCCCATTTCTGTAAAGCATAAAGCAGCTCAGAGTATTGTGCTACATGTAGGCTTCCCAGATGGAATGCTAGTTCATCAAGTGTTACAGAATGTATATGTTGTCCCAGCATTATCTTAGGTTTTCCCCAGCTATTTACTGGTCCTTATTTAAAGTGCATGCCCTCAAAATTGAAGTGACTTGCCCAAAAATACAGAACATTGACCCTAAGGCACGGGGGCAAACCCAGACAACAGACTGTGGATAGGGAGGGGCCGATATGGCTATAGCCCTATCACTCTTTTGCTTCCAGGGTCAATTGTCTAGGGCTCCAGATGACATGGATAATGATTGAAATTTACCAGTTGAAAGTACATGTAACAAAACTGCAGAACAGTGACCCTCTAAATGCTTTTTCATCTTGGCCAGATTGTTTAGCCCTACCACATTTAATTGTCCTGCAGTCCAGTCAGACAGCTCAATCTGGAGGTCAGCGCCCTTACCATTTAGCCACCATGTGCCCCAATGTCAGGTCCTGTAGGTTAACAGCTACTGAGTGTTGACAATCAAGGCTTTGCAGCATTTAATCAATTGGTGCTGTAGAACTTGTCATAATGATAAACTATGTTCAAAGTGCAGTTAATAGAAGTAGTTACTAGAAACTAGGCTTTTGTGCTCGGAGTTGAACTGATTGTTGTCTGTAATTTTTATATAATTTTCGAATTTTGACAGGAAAGAATTTGAGAATCACAAGATTGGTCATCTAGTGACAGTAAGTTGTCGTGACGTCTGTAAAGAAGGATTTGGCCTCACTCAAGTTGCTGATGCAGGTATAACAACCCGTGCCAAAAATAATACTATTGATTTGAAATAAAGTTGGTTGAATTGCGAATATCGTCAGTGGAAAATTTGAAATTTGACATTAAGTGTCCAGGGGCTTGAACACAGTAACGGTCTGTGGCCAAATGGAGGGAAAATGGGGCCATGGGAGGCTCATAAATTAACGCTGAAACAAATTAAGTCAGTCTGTAATAAATTAATTTTTGAACTAATATTTATTTAGAAATTTACTCTATTAATTTAATTTGTGATTTAACACTAGTCTAGTACTTTGAGCACGGAAATTTCTTGCTCTTAGTCTAAACGTTATCCATGCAAACACTTCTGAATGTCTCTTTAAAAGATCCAGTAACCTACTGTATAAACAACAAGAAGGTGGTTGCAAAGAAAAGCTAAGAGCGTACTAAAAGCTAATTATTCTCTTGGGTTGGTGTGACTTGCTATTATAATTATACTAATGCAGAATCGTTTAATTTGTTGTTACGCTTAACAAACTGTCGCACTGGCCATTTTCTTCCAGTCTTTCTTGACTTACCTGCACCATGGGATGCAATAAAATCCAGCAAAGAAGCACTTAAAGTAAGTAACAGTAATACGACTTGCATGCAATTTAGTGATCCGGTCAAAGAACAACATACAGAAGTTAAAAAGCTTGTATGAAGCTGAATAAAGAACGAGGAATAATCTATATACGCAACTCGAAAAAAAAGCTAAGAAAGCAGTGCGTTGTCCATTTCAAGGATGCAAAACTGACTACTGCACAATCACAACAAGAAAGTAACAAAACAAAAGCGCGGCAAACCGATTCGCCAGTTAATTCCCCTCAACTACCTTACTCGACTAGTGTATGGATCTTTTTGTTGGTGTTTGGTGGCGAGGTGACTTCGCTTGGTGGCGATACGAAGCGCCAACTGGTATCCTTTTTCTGTCATTTGAGACTTGATGTTAACCAGCTTTAACGGACCGTTTTCACGTCGGCATTTAGCAGAGGACATCTACGAAATGTGAAGTAAGCCTGCCGGCACATTAAACCCGCTCACTTCGAACTGAAACCCTAAAAAGCCTGTAACTAACGCGGCTAGTTAGTTCTCCCGACCCAAATCTCGTGGCGGTCGAGTCGCTGTTCTATAGAGGTGCATCTTCGTAGCTGCCTAAAGCCACGTTTTATAGACTAGAGCCTGGTTCACGTTAACGACGTAACGTCATAAAGACATAAACATAACGACATAAGAAGAACGTGATGTCGGTATGTTTGTAGTATGAACATGCTGACATAATGACATAAAAGCAACATAGCAGCATGCACATAACGGTACAAGGAAAATAAATGATCTTTTCCTTACGTCTTCATGTCGGTGTCACATAAGCGTCATAAGCGTCATAAGCGATTATGTCGTTATGTCGCTAGTATGAACCAGGCCCAAGAAATATCTTGCCAACCGCGTAGCAAATATTTCAAGAAGTGTTTTGGAATGGCCGGCAACGCAAATGCAGAACCATTGTACCGCTCGTTGAACTTCGCACTTGAAATGATTTTGTCGTCGCCAGCGATTTGAGTAAACCCCTACAATCCCTTAGTCACTCCTAAAAAATAGGTGTGGAGACATTCGTCAAAAAACCTCACAGATGCTATACGTATCATTGCTGGTGTTGCATGAATAAACTAGAAAAAAATTCCAAACTGTGGTTTATATTACATGTATTTCAGTCGGAAGGTGGAAGAATCTGTTCCTTTTCTCCTTGCATTGAACAAGTGCAGAAGACTTGTGAGATCCTGAGGTCTTGTGGATTTAGAGGTAAACACTTTCAAGTATTAGTTAAAAATCTACTAACCGAATGCCATTCTCTGATTGGCTACGCTACTCACTATCTAATCTGTTGTAGATAGTGAGTAGCCTAGCAGTGTAAGGCTGTTAACAAACTGACGGCCGCTTCTTTGCGTTTTCGAAGTGTCAGTGAAGAGGATTTAGATCCAGTTTTGAACGACTAGTATGGATTTACACTAAACAATTAGATTATTCGCTCTAGATTCCTATCCGTGATACAAAACTCGAGCTCCTGATCTAATTGTTAATTATTGGACAATATAGTATCTTTTGGTCTCACAGCGCCTACTTCTCCTGTTAGGAGTGTCAACTGCATTTCACAGTTTCTAATTTCTCTCAGTAAGTTCACTCCTTGGAAGATTAGAATTAGCTAGTTCCCTCTGCCAAGTGCTCGCTTTTACCGCTTCCCGCTCAATGATCTTGATCTTATTATCATGTAAGAATACAAAGTTTCTTTTGCTGTCACGTGCATGTGTTACGATTTACTTTGTATAGCGTTTTTCATTTCTTTTATGGTATTTTCTACAGATATCGAAGTCATGGAGTGTCTTTCCAGAACATTTGATGTGAAAACCGTTCCTTTACAAGTTCCTTACCTGGGTCCGGATGTAAGTCCTCGTTCCTTTAATTTGTTTTAATTGTTTCGCTCTTCCTCCTTGAGTCCTTAGTCAACCACACAACCGTAGACGGTGGAAATGTTCTTGCAGGCTCTCTCTCTCTCTCTCTCTCTCTCTCTTCTTATCGCTAACCCATGAAGTCACAATGCTTGGCCGCGCGACGTGACGAACAAAAGGTGATTTGTTTTCTCTCCATAGGTTTCTGAGTCACAAGAAATGTCAATGGACTCATCATCGCGGAAGAGAAAACTTGATACGGAAAGAGCATCGAGTGACGAGGTAAAACACGATGATGGACACTTACTGATCTCGCTTTTTTGTGTGTTCTTTGTTGGTGGTGGTGGTGGTGGTGGTGGTGGTGTTTTTTTGGGGGGGTGGATTAATATTGCTCATAGAGCGGTTTTCAATAGCTGTTATTGCAGTTGAGACTGCGGTCAAATATTCTTTTGTTTTAAAAGGCATGCAAACGAGGCGAAAGGGTCAATGCAATGCAGAATTGACCCTTTCGCCTCGTTTGAGTGTCAAGCTGCTGATAACTACAGTAACAGCTATTGGGTGTGGAACGTAATTAAACAATTACTTTGGCTTTGGTTTTGGTTACCGTTTTGGTTTTACTACGGTTTGAGATTGGCTAAGTAGTCCTCTTAGTAAGTAATCGGTGTGGTTTTGGTTTTACGATACTTAAGTGAAAACCGTTCTATCATCACCAATCACTAAATCAGGCTTTGACACTTGTTGGCTGTTTAAAATGTCTCAGCCAATCAGAGAGGCAGCAACCGCACTTCCGGTTGGGTCACCTTGACTTCTGGCTTTTCCCTGATCACAAAATAAATCACGCAGTTCTTACAGTGTAAAGTGAATCTGTAAGACATAATAAACATTGATATTTTTTCAACGTGTTTCTTTTTCTCTATATTTTAATAGACATCGTCAAGTTTGCCAGATGATCGAGAAAACGCTGGCGACCAGTCGACAGAATCTTTGGCGAGTGAAAATATTCCCACTAATCAGGAATTTCCTAGCAATGATGAGACACTCGTGAAATCCGAAATCTCAAACAGCGGGAGAACGGAGACATCGAGGCCCAGTCCTCGTAAATTTACGGACACTGACCCTGCGACGGGACTGGTGCGAAATGTAAGGGCAGTGATGTCACAGAAAGCTAACAAAGCGAACATTTTGACAGGCAGACCGCTGAAGGAGATGCAGGGTCATACGGGGTATTTAACATTCGCCACGCTGTTTGCGCAGAACTTGAATGTCGATACAATAAGCGGCGATGGAAAATAATAAAATAAGTAATTAAACACGCGGCGTTGTTTACAATTTATTATTATGAATTTTATATATTTATGCTCTCAGGCGAAATACGACGCGGGCTTTAAGCTGTAGGCATGTGTTATATATTCTCATTTATGGTATAAATATTTCATGCAAAAAATAAATTGACTCTACAATGTAAGACACAAGTCTCAATCCTCTGCATTATTCAATTCTCTTCGTTATATATGTCTAAAATGGGTTCAAAAAGGATTATAAAAATCAAATGATCTTTGGCCCTTGCTATTAAATGTGAATAAAGGGGCAGGGTAATATTTTAGCTAATTTTTTCGCTATGGAAACTCGCAGCGAGAGCAAATGATTTTTTTTTTCTTTTAATTACTAGCCGCGATAACAATCTTAAACAACATGTGTACGATTCTCTACAGAGCAGAGACTTGAGTTTGGAAATAATTTTAATCACGTCGAATCTCGAACGACCTTCAGGCGGGAAAGGAATTGACTGTGCTGACGACCGGCAGGATATTCGTGTGGCGATTACTTTGCGGTTATCCTTAATTTATTAATACTCATCGACGAGGCCTACAAAAGTTGATAGTATTATTATTATTATTATTATTTATATAAAAACGTAACGTTTTAACGGGAGATAATATTAGGGAGGATGATTTTTCTTTCGTTTAATCCCTGGGCATGCATACAGTTCCCCAATTCCATGCATTTATATAAGGCAAACTTTTGTTTTCACCTGTTCAAACATAATCTTCTACCATTTGTTCCCAACTGCACCTCTCCACAATCCTCGCGGCCATTTCTAGTGATGTCCCGCCTTGAACATACGTACACACTGTGTAGTAAGTATCAAATCTTAGAGTTTGATGACTGTCATCAAAGTCAGAGAGGCTACAAGTTAATTTTCATATAGATCTGCGTTTTCAGCAAATATAAGCTCTGGTGTCAACAATAGACCAATTACTGGAGTTTTCGATGATACAAGGAACTCTCTCAGTACGTGAAAGAAAAAGGAGTGTAGGGAAATTCTCACTGCGGATATTCTGTTCCAGTGACCTGATTTGTTTTCTACTAAGATTACTAAGTCGAGCGAAAATAAACGGTTTGGAGTAAACTTCCCTGGTCGTTAGAGATTCATTGTCCAGTAAGTTGATTCTTGCAACAATGACCTGTGCCTTCACGCCTCGGGGTAAGCCATGCTGTTAACTTTAAGAGATGAGACATTGATTTCATAATGGTATCGATCCATAAAGTAAAACGTACTATATCAAATCCACATAACGAACTGTTTCTTTTTGCTAAAGCCAATAAATTTTGGAGTTTGAACGGCCATAACTTATAAATATAGACTCTTAATTAAATAGCTCTGCAACGCCGTTTCACATTACCAGATCGAAATTTGGGTGCGAGGAATGGCTCCACCATCTTGATCGTATGCCACGAGCTCACGAAGCCTTGATCGTAGATTGCGATTCGCTGACAACGGAAATCCAATAGATGGCGTTAAATATACCAAAACTCAGTGGGAACAATATCAGAGAAAATTCGTCAACCGCCAAAATGGATTCTTCCTTGTATAAACGCTTTCGCCATTCTTTGAGATTCAGCCATTTGTTTTGATAATTTTTGACTTCACTGGGATCGCTAATCATCAGCTCCTGTTCCATTTTTGTAAACTCCATCATTTGTAACTGCGTACTGCAGACCTTCTCTGGTTTATATCTCTGTGCAATGGAACAGCAACGACAAGAAAGAAGATAAGAAAATAGAGATATCGTAACACTCAAGTCCACTTCCTTTTTGAAACCCTATTCAGACAGGGCATTTTTTGTCTGCTAGGGCTGAGGAGGGAGTGGGGGGGGGGGGGGAGCTTTTGAAGCCCTCGCTCCGGTAACTCTTAGAGTATTAAAGCTTAAACTTGGAGGATTTATAGCGCGTTAAAAAAATTTCGTTTTTCCTTTTGAGGTACATAACATGAAATATGACGTCACATGGCGTTGAAATAGAACAGCCGCCATCTTGGATCCGACATCGGAGCTAGAACACCATCACTTGTCAATACCGATAAAGATAACCAAGAGATCATAATTTCTTGAGTTAACAAGTGTAACTCAAAAGCTAAAAGTTACTGTTGAAAAGTCAAACTTTTCTTTCTTAAAGAAAAGTAATTTCATGCTTGCCAAAATATGATTTCCATGGAAACCTCTAGATTCCTGGCCAATGACAAGTCATATTTTATTGTTCTCAGATAAATCTTAAGAAAAGTTCCCAAATGTGGATTTCATTACCTTTTAAAATGCTATTAAAATAATTATACGAACCCTGTTTACAACGCCATTTCCGTTGGTCTCTGGCTTGTCACTGCCAATGTCGAAGTCTATCTTTTTGCAAGTTTCCTTCTTATACTCGTCAGATTCTTGATATCTTTTCATCCTAGCAGCTAAAAACAACACCAAGGAATACTCTGCTAAAGTGGCAAACACGAACAGAAAACATCCGATGAGGTATTTATCGATAGTTTTCACGTAGTTCACCTGCAAGGAAAAATCAATATAAATTCACTATTACATTGATCGACCGGCTGTGCCGCAGGCTAGCGGGAAACCCACTGTCGTGTTTGATACTAAAGCATTTATGCCAAGGTATCAGTTGTTTGTATAGTGCGATCGCCAGGGTGAAGTTTTCTGGGGTTTTTTTGTGTGTGTGTGGCAAACAGTTTAGCAACCTGAGCGGAGGTAAACTCGTAAGAAGTCTGGCATTGTTGTTTTTATGTTTATGTTCGTTTGTATTTTCACTGTTGTTGTTCTCTTTCTCGTTCTTCTTTGTTGTTGCTACAACTGCTGGTGTAGTCTTCATCGTTGTTTTACTCGTTGTTTTATGTAGTCTTGAGTTGTTGTTGTTGATTTTGTTGTTAAAAGTTGCATTGTTAGAATACGTTTTTTGTGACTAATTATTTAGGCTCGATTTCCGCTTTTCCTTTCGGTCCAGTCCCCGAGGGGGCTACTTTCCCAAACAGCGGCTGACAATTGAGCCTATTAATTATTAGGCTACAGATTAGCATTCTAGTGCTCCTTTGTTTGGATATGGCGCAACTTGAGAAATTTTGCCTAACTGGGTCTTTGCTAATCCGTCGCAGTTTTCCAGAATTCTTGTTCCTCATTGTATTAAATAATCATTTCGTCTGTTATTTTGTTTGTTTGTTTGTTTTTTGTTTGTTTTTTAACCTTGGTAATTTGGTATACTAAAATTTCTGTCGATCTGAAAGGATGTTCGAACTTTTCTACATCATTACATCACAATAACATTTTAAAAATAGATCTAGAGTACCTTTGGCATAGAGTTGTTGAGCATGTTCAGAATGGTGACGACAGTTAGGACAGAGGTAACCCCCAGTGTGATACGCGCAGGAGGAGAACTCCGAGGCAATAAGAAAGAGATCCAGGAGATGATGACGATCAATGCGCATGGTCCATACACGTGGATAAAGAAATAACTTGACATCCGTTCAAAAGTAAATGTCGCTTTTATACCGGACCAGTTTCCTAGTAAGAATTGAATAATCGTTAACACAAGGAAGAGAAATATACCATCGCACTTTTTTTTGAGAAGGGGGAGGAGGAAAGAGGGCAATGGGAAGTGTGAGGTGGGATTTGATATCCCCTTACTATTTTTCTCGAGTACTAAGATTGATAGAGAGGCCGTTGCCATTAGCGGTCACTATGTTGGAAACTACGTTTCCGCGGAGTGGGATGATTTAAGAATGATTATCGTCAGCAAAATTGTGTACGTCGATTGTATTGGCTCTTGGATTTACAAAACTTCAGCTATTTTTTAATGATTACCAAGCGGGTGACTAACCGTTCAAATCAGTAGTCCAAAACTTTTATTTTGAATCGCCAGAAGCTACACGATCCCCTCTCTACAGCATGTCAATAATTGAGTACATGTAGTCTAGAAAAAGCTCCTAGTACTTGAAAATGAAGAGTTGTTTTCGGTTTTATTTTATCTCAGTGTTTGCAGTACTCACCGACAACGTACTTATTAAAAGTCTTGCTGAGGCTCAGGTTAACTAAACTGTATTGAGGCAACATTTTGGTACTACTAGGAACAAACGACATTCCATTTGTGAGATCATTCTCCCACTTGAACGTAATGTGATCCTCGCTGTATCCATCTGTAGAGAGCAGGTTCACAACGTGAGTGTTATTGTTATTGTCATTCTCATTATCAAAGCCATTTTCTTTTCAACAGCATTGCCGCCGTCTTTCGCACTCACTTAATAAGGTAATCTTCACGTAATATATCAAACACAAAAGACCGTGTTTGACCACATTTCCAAACATCGGGAAGGGAGTTGAAAATGCGACGCGTAGCGTCGTATTTTTGACGAACCTCGCAGTGTTTGGAAATTTGGTCAAACATTGTCTTGAGCGTTTGATATATCTTCTCAATCGAAACTAAAACTAAGGAGAAAATGGAGAAATTAATGGTANAAGGGGAGGGAAAGGGGAAAAAACGAGTGCTCCCTTGACTTTTTCCCTCCCCTTCTACGGCCCTCCACGCAGGCTAATCTATTGGTTATTGGCCAAGCGTGAGGTCATGATGGCTGGATATTATTGGCCATCTTGCCCGTTCGGGTAGCCAATCAATCTTGCAGACTCACGGAGCTAGCCTTATGATAACACGAGCTATTGCAAAGGTTTGGAGCTTTTCTTTAAAGCCGGTAGTTAGTTATATTTCCTGTATTCTCTCTCCTGATCTCGATATCAACTTAAAGACAAGGTAAGGAGAAATTAGAGTTCGTCACCTAGCGTTATAGTTGACCAGCCCTCCTGGCCTGATCATTATCATCATGTTGTTGGTAGTGACCTTGTGAAAGGAGCCGTGCTTTGCATTCACAAAATACGAGTCAGGCATCCAGATGCGATCCATCACAAAGTTGCTAAGAAACATGGTTTTGTTGAGCCCGTGATCTAGACGTTCATCTTTCCACGCTTGGCGAAAGAATATGTCCAGGCTGAAGTCCTTTTAAGTAGAAAAAGAACGAGAAAAGTCTTTTAGGGTTTCATCGGCTTCGAGGTTGGGGTACGGAGGGTACTCCCATACATTTTGGATAGGTGTGTGCCGCGAACGGTCTTAAACCCTGACTCTACTTAAGGATGAAGCAATCGAAAGTTGATACCCTATTGAAGGCACAAACCCAAAAATAGACGCCCTATTCAAGGGAAAACAAAACCCAAGAAAGGTGTGAACGGGAAAACTTTAATATTTACGGATAGTTTTAAACAGACCATTTTTTTGTCGTTTAGCTGAGAATTTCCGCACTGCCATTTTAGCTGATACAATTTAGGTACCCTAACTAAGGACCACACCGGGAACACAATACCAACAGGGGCGACAATTGTGCCTTATTTAAGGATCAAGAACCTTAAAAACCATACCCTATCCCTCGGCATACACCTATATAGCCCATTCATTGGAGTACCATGCCCCCTGACATTCTCTCTCGTTCACAAATGAAAGGGTATTTAACTTCTCCCATTTTATCGCAGTAGCATGCAAGATGTTGGTCTCGTTTGAACCAGGGCATATTCGGAAGATCACGTTGACCCATCTGATACAAAAAAGCCAATTTCTTCCAAGTGCCTAAAGAGACTGGCTGATAATGT